CATGCCCTGTGACGGTGATCAAGCAGTAACAGCATCGCCTTCACTAATTGTTAAATTTAAAAAAGTACGTTCTACTGAATTAAACCGGCTAAACGGAGAAGCTGAGAGTTTTATGTTTCCTAAACAGCGCACGTCGAGTGAACTGCCCACCGATATCGATCGACAAACTACTTCCGACAATGCGCATGCAAGCTTTTCGTCAACAAGTCTAGATAGCACTAGCGACGGGCCAATGGAGATAGAATTAGCCATAACAACAGAGAATAACGATAAGTCTGCAGTAGGAAGTAAGGAGTTGGGAAAACGCGCAATCGCCAATGCAAAGCGTCGTAAAAGCCAAGCGTCGACGACTACAAAGCAGCGCTTTCCAACCGCCCCCATCCAGCCAGAGTTACAACTGAAGAATAAGCTTGGAACACGTAAGTCTGTGTCTACAAAGCCGGCAGTGATGCCGACAGTAGGCAGTAATGTCACGGAAACAGCAAAATCTGCCATATCAGCGGCAGCTGCTAAAGCGAATGCCACCGCAGCTGCACTAGCGGCAATTACACTGCCAGAAGCAACACGTAAAAGCAGCCGCACCGCCACCGCTATCGTAACGGCAGCAACCACTAGTAGCCGCTTACTACGTGCAGCCGTGGAAGCGGCAAAGCATAACTATCGGCAAATGGTGGCAGCCAACGAGTTGGTCGGAAACGGACGCAAAAAGTCGAATGCCAGCGAAACGACAACAAAGTCCTTGATGGCAGCGACGGCGACGAAGACTAGTCAAAATGTAACAGTTGTGAAAATGGAGGATCGGATGGGGGATGTTGAAAATGTTAAGAAGGAAGATGAAAGTGAAAGTGAGGCCGATAACACTAGTAGCTATACAGATGATGAGGAAAATTGCACAGATATTTGCAAAGGATTTGAAGATGGATATTTTGTTGAAGATTTAGATGATGATGATGATGATGACGACGACGATATTGATAATGATGATGAAAACGACGAAGACTATGTACACTACAAGAGCAGGCGGCACAAATCCATTTCTTTTGACAATTCCTCCGACATTTGGCAGAGTGGTTGTAGTGGTCCGACGTCAAGAAGACAACGGGCAATGAAGCGAGAAGAGCAGAAATCTAAATGCGATGTTTCATTAGTTGAAACGAAAGATTACGACATTACCAAAGCTACACGTGAGGTCGGGAGAGGGGGGAAGCGAAAAAAATGTATTGAGGAGCCATCTAAGACCAAAGTCCCGAATATTAGCGCATCTGGTAAAAATAATAAAAACTCAACTGCTGAGTTGGTATCACGTACGCCGTCGCCGGCGAAGAAAAAGTCCATTGCATCGTGTTTTGATTATAAGACCAGCGCACGCCTAAATCAAATGCGCTACTCCTTTGAGCGTATACCTGCAACTGATCTTTGGTATCGAGTTTTCACACGTCAAGATAACTGCGCCGAACGCTTTTTCGAATATTACGGTTCAACGAACTATCGTAAGCTACCTTATGAACTTGGCCCAATACCATACGCGCGCACATTGGACTCTACCCTATGCTGTAAACTCTGCGAAAGTCAAAGGAACGTAGAATTACCGACGACTGAAGAGAGTAAAATCTTTTCAAATGCGGGAAATGTGTGCAAAGTCAAATCAGAACCATTGGAAGATTCGGAAGCGTGTGCCACCAAATCAAGAGATTCGAGCAGTTGCAATTCGAATGACATCGTCAATGCAAACAACATATGCCACATTGGAAGTGCTAATAATATGCAAACCGAGTCATCTGCAACACAGTACAAGCATAAACATAAAAAATTACAAATTCTACAACGTTATCGCCAGGAGCAACAGGAACTGCAAAAACGACAAACCGAACAAGTTTCTGCAGTTCAGGAGAATAACTCCAATCAATCGCAATGTGATACCAAAGCTACTAATACATCAGGTCTAGAGCGAGCGCGCGATCGACAACGAGCTGGCTCCACACACAGCACAACGAGTAGTACGAGTTGTGCCAGCAGCACGGCCACTACCAAAACCAACAAAAATAGATACCTCAATAAGCATCTGAATAAAGCTGCGTCCGCCTTTCTGAACCTAGAACTGCCGCCTAGAAAATCACCGCGCGAGCACGCTTCAACGCTTGCATTGGTGAGCTGCATTATAAAGCAGCGGCAAGATTCACAGAGTAAACCGAATTCAGAGATCGACGAGCCGTCCACTACTCCCACACCAGTTTTAGTTACCGAAGCAGCAACCGTTACCACACCTGGATCAGAGCTCGCTTTAGCTATAACTTCAGCAATAAAAACGAAAGCGCAGAACATAACGACAGCATCAGTATACACAGATTCAGCATGTAATGCGAAACCAACGCCATCTGTTAGTGACTTACCTGTTTTACGTTCTCCACGCCATACACGCTCTGCTGCGGCTACACCGGTCGAAGAGTTGCGTTTCACCACTGAAATATCGGAAAATGTAAAACGCATGCGACGTGGTCAAAATAAATACGATCACTCGCCCCCAATAGCGCTCAATCAATCACGGAAAAGTACACGTGGCGGCCGACAGATACTAAAGTCACCACTCGGTAGACCATCACGTGCCTATAATGGTGTACAAAAATTCCTGCACTCCACTGGTCGCACCACGAATCGAATGAGTCAAACACCCAATTCGCTGGTCGCAGCTGCAGCAACAACGGGCAAACGACGCAGACGTGGATATGCGGCCAGGCGACATAATTGCTACAGTGGTCTACTTGGACAGGGTTCTGCTTTGCCATCCATTCGTAAGACAGGTAGCAAAAAGGGCGTATTAGAGTTTGAGGTGGATTCGGCTGCATTAAAAGCACTCGATGGTGCGACGAAACATACAAATATTCGTCAACTAGAGTGGCAGATTGATAAATATCTACAATACCATGGCAGTGAATATGATTTAGAGAGAGATTTAACGTTGGACAACTGTGAAGGTGGAGTAGCGATGCCGCTTGCAACGATAAGCACATCCTCCAAAAAGAATAACATAACTCCTGCATCGGTTACTGCATCTACGAGTAAGACACTACGTGTAAACAGCTCAATTAACGCGGATGTCAAACGTAATACAAGCGCAACGATATCTTGCGCTACCTTCGAATCAAATACACCACCACCCACCGATTGCTTTTCCAGCGACTTCGATCTGTATGACTTGTTTACGAATGCAACGGGTGGCAGTCCGTCTGATGAGGAACAAACGATAAATGTTGGCGGGAAACGTAGAAGCACGGGCCTTTGTTTATACAACTCGCTATCGATGCAGAATTATTTCCGCAAACGGAAAAGTCTGAAATCCAACCGTACGGGTTGGCCAAAAGTACAAAAGAAAAAGACTTCCGCGCGCCAACAACAAAAGTTAGCACAAAAAATACGTTTCCTGCGAGATATTGGTGAGTTGGCTGGAAATGGGATAAAAGAAGAAGCAGCAGATTTGACAGTGAGTAAGAGAGGCGATGAAGCTGAAGAAAATGATATGTCACTTATATGTAGAGGTATGCAACGGCGGCGGCGAAACGGTGTTATTACGCCACCACAAAGTGCGAGCGATGTCAACCAAATAATGCAAAATGATGTCGGAGAAGATGAAGAGGAAGCGGGCGCGGACGATGATACGGAATTAGATGCTGGTGAGAGTATACCGGAGGAGGAGGAAGATGAGGATGGAGACGAGTTGGAGGACGATGGCGAAACTATGATGGATTCAATCGATGAGGAAGGCGTACAAACTGAACCCGACGCTGATGCTGCGGCCGAAGCTGATGAAGAAGACATAGAAGATGCTGAATTGTATACAGAAGCAGTCGGAACAGCAGGCGAAGATGAAGATGATAGTAATTTTGTGTCCTTGCGTAAACGCATACGACGTTGTACGAACGCTAGTCCGCTCGAAGATAAACTCGCGCCGGCAAACTCGTTAATAACGATTAGTTGTAGCACCAATAATAATAGCGGTGCCACTTCTACGCCCACGACACAAATGCTACGTGGAAATTCAAGACGTACACCACAGTTGCTTAACGGCAGCTTGGGCAGCTGTATTAGTCCTAGCGAAAAAGCCGGCGATAATTCCGATATTTTTACTGTATCTTCAGATGGACTCGATACTGATTTGGATATGAGCAACTCGCAACATAAATGTGACGATGAGCATCTACATCAACACAACCAACACCACAATCACCACCATCATCATCATCACCATCATCATCATCCCCATCATCAGGATCAATGTGTGAGTCATCAGACGCCAAAACGTAAATTCGACTTGTCAAAATATGCGCCAAACAATACTACCGCAAGTAGCTGCGCAGCAGAAGCCGCAACTGCTGCCGTAAAATCTTTGGCAATATCACAGTTTCTTAAAAAAGAAGTTCGGGTGACATGTAGACGCTTGCGGGCACCATTCCGTCGCTATCGTTATCGCAGATAGGATAATAAAAGTTCAACTAATGTGGCTGCAACTATAGTCGCTCACAACACGTAACTGCATTGTCGAGCAGCAGGCAGCAATAGTGGAGCAACAACCTCGAGCACCATAAACAACGGTGCAACAGTGTACATACACATTACATTACAAGCAACTTTCACCCATGAAAATATTATAAGAAAATGAAAGAATTCAATCACGCAACTAGTTGTATTTTGTACTTGTAAATTGTTACGCAATCAATGTTTTAAGACGAAACCCAAAAAAAACACGAAAAAAAACAACCCTGCATACCTATGGTGGATGAAAAGCTTTGAGGAGTAGAGTATATAAAGAAAATGTATGTAATTTAATAATTATCGGAATTAAAGTACATAATGTATACACACACAAGCATATAATTTTTGTAATTAAAATAAAATTAAAAGAACTAAAACGCAAATTAATATTAAGTACCACAAACATTCGCTGCCCCATGCACTAGCCGCAATTTCCACTATGTACAGTATGGTGTAGTAGAGTTAGTGTTTTATTTTTTTTTTTTTGTGAATAATGTTATCCTAATAGAATTTTGTAAAACCTCAGCTAATACAGTATATAAATGTTTAATTTTTCGTAAAGAAATGCTCGCGAAAATAAAGAATTTTGTTGATTTTATTTTTTTTTTAATTTTCTACACATAAAAATGTAATGTAAAGTTTAGCGTTTAAGTAGCATATTGTAATCGTATACGTTTAAACAAAATTGAAAGTAAAATGCTAAATGCATTTGTATGTATGTATGTGTTGCAGCGAATTCAAGCGAAACTAAAAAAATTTTCATATGTTCTGTAAAACAACTACCAAGATATGAACTTAATTATAATACAAAAACAAATAAAAAGATCATTATAAAAAATATGAATGCGATTTGCAATTTAAAAAACTGTCTACTTTTTTACTTAAAATTATAAACGTGTTTTATAATTACCAAAAAATGCGCAGGTTAGCAAAAGATGTTTTGAAAGTTATCATTTAATACAACTGACTTAAAAAATGTTGCTATATTGAAAGGTAACAAAATAAGTTCTGGAAACGGCGCCTATAATACCCTTCACAAATATTATATGTACATACTCCATACAAGAACTTCATTTTTATCGCTTAATTTGTATGGCAGCTATATGCTATAGTGGTTTGATATCGGCGGTGCCGACAAATGAGCAGCTTCCTGGAGAGAAAATTACATGTGCAAAATCTTCGAACGATATCGCAAAAACTTAGGGGCTTCTTCGCGTATTAACACGTCTTGTTTATATATACTTGAAATGGCTAAATCGACTCGGCTTGTTATGTTGATCATTTATATATATAAAAATATAAATATATATATATATTAGAGAGATTATATATACAATATATTAGAGAGTCACTGGGAGGTCTTTACAAGGGTTAATGACAAATTCCACATACATATATATATATATATAAGTATAGGAACCGCGCTAAAAAAGTAGTAACAATAAAAATTCAAAATTCTCTTTAGAAAGTAGTCAAAATTAAACGTTCATGAATAATTATAACGATATTCACAATCCTTAGATCTTCGCAAACTCATTAAATACGAGGAGACACTAGGCATTAATGCTCATCAAGATAATTACTTTGAGAAGCTCTTTAAGCGTACAACCGCCAGTTTCCGCGCTAAAGTTGACAAGGAGAATGCATATTGTGAACGCGCTGACGAAGTAAAGTCACAACGTAAACATGACGGTCATGCCTTACGATCGCTGAATCAGAAAGAGCATCAAAAACAAGTGGAATCAAGAGCGGGAATGGCAAAGAAAGGCAATCAATGCCATTCTACGCGCACCTATACCACTTCGCAGTATGGCACAACTTTCGAGGGCGGTAGTATGAGTGGCAAACTGAATGTCAAACAAAAGTCTCCACAACAGCAGAAACAAGTACAGTCAGCAGAACCACGCAAAAAGGTTTCAGAACCACGTCCTCGGTCGCACACAAACACTTTCGGTGCGGAAACTATATCACGCGAGCAAGCTTGGCAAAGTAATAATCGTATACCTTTTGGTGAATGCAATGAATTTAGAGGTCCTCAAACCGAAACGACTGCACGTACCTCATCGCGTCCAGCAGCCCAAAGGGAGGCGAGTCTAAAGCGTGGCCAAACAGCAACCACCACAATTGGTATCAAAGAAGACAAGTCTAAAGCAAATGGAGCAGCGTCAAAGACAAGAGTTGAATCGCGGGATACTGATCGTGGCCGTGCTCGTGTTAGATATCCATCTCACGAACGTAGCGCACCAAGGCGTAGTCCGAGTGGCGGCAGCTACACCACAGCCAGATCTTTGGGTGTTATGAGTAAGTAATATGGTTTCGAGTATTCTACTAAATTTTAGATAGGCAAATCGCAGCTATAAAAAAAAATAAAAATTATTTAAAATACAAGTAGTAACAAATAATTAATTTTCTTCCTCCTGTTTTAGTACCACGACAATGCACAGCGACACGCCGCCGCCGACCGCTAAGTAAAGATCCGGTCGCCTTATATCACTACTATCAAAGTGAATGGAATTACTTTCGTGAGCAAATACCAGGCGAGAGTTCACATGCGGAGCTGCGTTGGATGATACGTGAACGTCTAATGGATCCAAACTAAAAAACTATATACATATTTAAAACTAGAATTGAGTTATGGCCACCAACAACCAATAAGAATTTTACTTCCATCTTTTTAAGTATATAAAATATTTCAGTTATATGTATGTACAAACATAAAACTCGCCTCTTGACAATGGATAAAATTTAATTTGAATTCTTTAAACAATTTAATACTACTATTATTTTATGAATTTGAAATTAAAATAAAATCAATTTAAATCAATGAAATTAAAAAAAAAAATTGCATATATTTTGGGCAAAAACTTTTTTTAACTATGTAATTTAAGAGTTTCGCTATTCCTAAAATTAACTATGACTTCGAGTTTTTTGTTTTATTTTCTTTATAATTATACTATATAATTATTAAATCAAAAACGTGCCACAGTCATTCGGTACTGCGTAGGTCGGAATTGAATTTATACCTGATTAAGAACGGCCCACTTGAGAGCATTCCCCAAAATTTGTCACCGGTACAACAACTCTACGAGTAAAAACAAAATTGAGAAAGAATAATTGAGTGGACGTGACTGTAGTTCAAATCACTTCACCCTTCAAATTAAATTTAAAAAAAATTTGTTTCATAAAAAATTGATTTGACAAAAGCAAATGTCAATGTTACTATATAATATAAAAAAAAAATAAGTGTATAAAATACATATCTGCTTTTTTATGTAAAATTTGTCTTTCGCAACTTAGTCGTTTCGGTAAAAAATTTTGTCAAAATTCTTTTAGTTATTTCGGATAAAATATTTATGTAAGATTTTTTTTACAAAAATACAAATGAGTTTGTGAAAAACAATAATAGGTGGGACAAAACAACAACGCGATATTTTCAAAGCGCGTGAACATAGAAATGTCAGCGTTTAAAAAAATGTTCAATGTTTTACGTTCAAGCAAAGGAGAGAGTAGCATAATGGATATGCGAACAATGAGTGATAAAAGTCTACATTCCACGTATTCGGGTAACACCAGACCGAGTGTATACACATTTCGTAATGAATTCGGCGCCTCGTATAGAACCTCGCCTTTGTCAACAACATCCGAAGTAACGCATATTAACTACGCAAATGAGTTAACCAATTGGCGACAAATGGATACTAATCAATCAATAGTCCCGTTTCCTGGCAATTCTATGTTGCCAGGATATTATGGTCAATATGGATATCCCGAACCATATTCTACAAATATGCGTAAGTTTTTTCAAAATTTTAACTAAGTATGATAGTGTGAAAATTTCTATATAAATTTGTATTTTAATATTTAGCATATCAAAATTCAAATTTTGGTTATCCCATATTAAACGAAAATCAAATGATGGTACCGGAGAATCCATTGTATGCAGAAAATAGATTGATGAATGCCGATAGTCCTCTGCCAGCAATGCCCAATATGACAACTTTGACTGAACCTAGAAATCAATTTGCAAACTCACGCTCCGATGCATTTAGATCCAGTATGGCAGCTATTCCACTAGATAAGTTGAAAAGAATGCGCGCAGCGAAAGGCAGGCTAATTATTTCTAACATTTTCACACGTTTATTCTATGGATAAATGCTGTTTCTATTGAATTTAATATTTTAGATTTATACAACGTTTTGAATTACTTGGATAGCGATGAGACTTTCTTAAGGAAAACGAACAAAACTAACAAATCCAAGAAAAATAGCAAACTACTATTTTAAACTTGATCCAATTTGAATTTGCCTTCTTTCTTTGTTGCATCAGTTCGATGGAGTTGATACAACAAGCGCTCCTCGATATGTTTCACCGCATTTACAGTTAGCACTAAAGTGTCGTGTTTAAGCATTGAATATGTATTGAGACCATATGAAGGCATCAAATTCACATAACCCAGCGCATCAGTGGCATAAGAAATATTCTCCGGAAAAATATCATCTCTGCATGAAAGAAAAAAAATATTATTTCGCAACTTTTTTTAAATAAAGTAAAATAAAATACCTATCCACAATTAACACAGAAGGTCCCCAATTGCGTTCTTTTATCAACTCTTTAATAAACTGTGTATCACGTGTGGGCACGTCAGTGGTATCAATGACATGTAGATCGTCTTGTGCAAGCTTTACACTAAGCGTTGCAGTTAAACCCATCACTCGCTTGTAGAACGGTAACATATAGAAATGTGTCGTGGGTGATCGGGGTCCGTGCGCAATGCCACCACCGCGGAATAAGGGCGACCTTATAGATCCATGTCGGGCACGTCCCATTCCTTTCTGTGGCCATGGTTTCCTTCCACCACCACGCACTTCCGCGCGTGTTTTGGTATGGGCAAAACTTACATAACGATATTTACGCTGCCATTCTATATTTTCTTGTATGACATCAACGCGGGGCTGTGTTGCAAAAATGTCCGGGTGCAGTTCGATAATACCTACTTTACGTTCCGGCACGGCATCAATGTTTTCAATCCAAACCTGTCGTGAAACGGCACGATTCATTGGTTCATATTGCGGCCAACTTTGTGGCAATATAAGTGGTGTCGTCGATGTTGTTGACACTGCAACCTCTGATGACGATTCCTTGACCACATCGTGAGTGGCACGGGTGGCAGTTTTACGCAGATTTGGTATTAAAATACTCTTGGTTTTATTTAACAAATTTAACATTTTCGACCTATGTTTATAGTTTTTTAAAAGCCGAACCCACCAATTGAAAAGCGTGATATAAACACTATTCTTTATTTTGACATTTATCAACAATTTACACCATTTGCATTAGCGTGATCCAATACATTTTGAAAATGTGTACATCACATTTTTTAGCAGTACTAAAAATTAATTGTGAGAAAACGTTCTGCATTTAATAAACATAACTTTCAAGTTTTATATGTTTTATTCACGGATTTTTACACAAGTTTTTATTTCGGTTCAAGTAAAAATTTACCACACGAGTCAATCTGTTTTGTTTTGACACTGAAGTCATTGTGAATGTGTCATTGTCATCGCTGAGAAGTATGCTATACATTTTCGTGCGCTGTTTAATAATATAATCATAACCGGAAAATTAAATAATAAAAACATTAAATACTGTTAAGCAATTTCAGGAAAATGCTAACGGATACAGACGATGACTACTTCTTTGAAGAGGATAAAATGTAAGTTCAATAGCATTTTGGTCAAACGAAATATCATTATATATTTTCACACATATGTTTATCTGTTCTTAAACAACTGTGGGCTGTGTAATAATCAATATAATTGCATTTGTGTCGTTTATTTACGTATCTTCTAAATTAAAAATAATTCTCCAAATTTTCTTGTAACTAAAACTTTGTTCAATTAAAACCAAATTTTATGCACATAGTAAAAGCGTTTTAACGGAATCCGCCGTCATGACACCGCTATTGCTCAACGAGAAGTAAGTAGAAGCTCTGCGACATAACAATGGCGGTACACTTTCTCTGAAACTGCATGTATGTACTTATGTATTCCCAAAGTTCTACGCATTTGACAAACCAACAACAACAGGAAACACAGAATGAGCCGAATTTAAATGCTGCCAATTCCGATTTTGAAGTAGAATTAGTGATTGACAACGAACGGGAATCGACACCCGAAAATGATGATGTCGCTCAGACTAATATTATTGTGCCCCTTTTGAACGAGCGTTTAATTGAGTTCGATAGGCAAAAATTTGAATTAGACCGACTGTAAGTTGTGACTAGCACTGAACGGTATATAGTATGTACGAAACTACCAAAAGCAGCAACCATAATTGCTCTTCTCCAATAATAGATATATGTACAACTAATTTGGTATACAGATTAGCTCAACATATCGGCTAGCATTAATGTAGTCAACGTATTGTCAATTAAGGAGCACCAATATACTCCTAGATACTCCTAGTAGTTTCGCTTGCAAATCTATAGTTTCTCTATTTTCATCAACTAGAATTTTAATTTGTGCCAAATTAGGACCAATATTAACTTAGCTTGCTATACAAATAAATATTTGAAACGTATACTTTAAGAAATATATAAATTTATTTATATGGGTTATTTAAGGCAGCAAATATAGCAATCTACATAAAAAAGCGCAGCGCAATATGTGAACATTTAAATTTTCTAACATATTTCGGCAATTCTAGGAATTACTATAAATTATCATTTACTCACACTCATTCACACACACACATATGTGTACATAAATTTATATATTTATATGCATACATTCATATTTTTAATTTAGGAGCGGAATGAAAATATTTACACAGCAGCTTATGCATTAGATTCATATACACATACATACATAAGTACATATGCACATATTTTAATTAATGCATGTACGTATGTATATAGTTAAGTAGTCTCAAACTTTTATATACCTATACATATGTATATTATTATATCCCTAACTTTTTGAGTTGCTCCAAAAACCTACTCCTCAGTACGTATACGCGCATCATATTGGGTCCATGGCCAGCTAAATAAGATTTAAGTGGGAAATAGGGTTTTTAAACTTGTTTTTTTAAATATTTTTGTCCTATATTGTATGCATAATAACTCAAGAATGTTGTGCAAGTGGACCCCAGCAAAATTGACAAAGTTATGGCTTTTGTTATACCAGTCTTATGAATGTTTTACAGCAGACTTAAAAACTTTAAAGCGTGCAAGTTCAAAACTTGTGTTTTTGAAGCTATTTTGATACATAATTTACGAGGTAACGCTGGAGAGCTTCTTCAAACTTGTAAATATATTTTGTTTTACAATAACAAATTAACCGAATTCCATACAAAAAAGTGTACCCAAAAAGTGAAAAATTAAAATTTCGAAACAAATGCCAGGTTAACTGGTCAAAGCGATTATCTAACGGTATATTTTTGAGTTTTTGATTTTAGTTGTTCCCGCACCGAGTTATGAGGGGCACCACAATTCAACTTTTGCGCAGACGCTCCAGCGTAACTGCTGCCATTGCCGTATTTTTTAAATATTTCTCTATGGAATTTTAACAGAATATTCCTCAAATGTCTTGCTATTATATAATGTATCATTGGTTCAATACAAAAAAAAAAGATTTTAACTGTTTCATCAAAAAAAAAATCATCAAAATGTGCCTCGGATTAACCCGAGGTTCCCGCTTAAAACACTACAACACTTGTCTACTTATTAAATTCTAAACTAATTGCATTAAATTTGATTTTTAAGTTTTTTTTAGATATCGTTTTTATATCGTTTAAATTGGCTGCTTTAGAAATTTGTATAGTTCTCAGTCATGTTACACCATCTCCACCTTTATCACTGCGAATATGCATAGTAACTCTCAATGCATCTTTATCATATACATACATATATGTACAACATAATTAGCATCAGTAGCCTTATGCTAGCATTACCGCATTACGTAACTACAAATTCATAAAAAAACCACAACTAAATCTTATTTTTCAAAATACCCAACACTGAACACAGGGGCATGACGGTGACTGTGAGTTCGGTGGTGATTACTAAGGATCAAAGCAATTTGATAGGAATTAGTATAGGCGGCGGCGCGCCACTGTGTCCTTGCCTTTATATAGTACAGGTAAGTTAAAATTATATTTATAGACAATAGTTTCACTAAGTTTTGACTCACATTAGGTCTTCGATGGCACACCAGCGGCGCGTGAAGGCTCACTGCAAAGCGGCGACGAACTGTTAGCTGTCAACTCGGTGAGTGTGAAGGGCAAAACCAAAGTGGAAGTAGCGAAAATGATACAGGCCGCCACCACCACGGTAACCGTACACTACAATAAATTGCACGCCGATCCGGAGCAAGGCAAATCGTTGGACATTATACTGAAGAAATTAAAGCATCGCATAGTGGATAATATGTCCAGCAATACCGCAGATACATTGGGTCTTTCACGTGCCATTCTCTGTAATGATTCGTTGGTCAAGCGACTGGAAGAACTTGAGGGCACCGAATTGATGTATAAAGGTTTGGTGGAGCATGCGCGACGTATGCTGAAAGCCTACTACGATTTGCTGCAGACCTATAAGGCATTCGGCGATTGCTTTACACAGATTAGCGCGCGTGAACCGCAACAGCGGGCATCTGAGGCGTTTCGCATGTTTGGTGAATTTCATCGCAATCTGGAAAAGGATGGTTTAAATATTATAAAGCAAATTAAACCGGTGCTCTCCGACTTGGGTACATATCTGAACAAGGCGATACCTGACACCAAATTAACGGTACGCCGTTATGCCGATGCCAAATTCACCTATCTCTCCTACTGTTTAAAGGTAAAAGAGATGGACGATGAGGAGCATAGTTTCGCAGCATTGCAGGATCCGCTCTATCGCGTCGAGACGGGCAATTACGAATACAGACTCATTTTGCGTTGTCGCCAGGATGCGCGTAATAAATTCGCCAAATTGCGTACCGATGTGTTGGAAAAGATGGAACTGCTCGAGTGTAAGCATGCAATGGATTTGAATAAACAATTACGCAGTTTGCTCGATAGTCTGGCACAGCTCAATCGTTCGGTTGTAGAGCGTATAGAAGCTTTGCCGCCGCTCTTTCCGATTGAAGTTGATTTCAAAGAAACTGACTTTCAATATAAATCGACCACGCTGAAGCCACAAGATCTCGATGAGGAAGAAGAGGAAGAGCAGACGAGCGTGCGTACCGAATCGCACAATTTGCGTACGACTAGTACAGAAGTCGTTTGTGGCTTAGAAGCTGTAGAAACGCCAGCACCAGTGGTAAATATACAACAAAGAGATAATCTGCTGGACGAGCTCGATACGACATCGAATCAGTGTGTGGACAATAATGAGTCACTACTCAAAGAGTTGGGTCTATTCGGCGTAGATCTTATGTCAAATCCACAAACATTAACGAATCAAAAGGACTCGGTGGCTGCACAGAATGGCGCTTATGATTTTGATTTATTTCTTAATCAGACAGCAGCAACGACAACACAATTGGAACTGGACTTAATGTCAGCGAATGCGCTCGAAACCGATTTGTTGTTACAGTGAATGTTCTATTGTGAGTTGCTAGAAAATATCACTTGAAGTATTAGCTAATACATAGAAAAATATTTATTATACCAGTTAATATAATAAATGGAAATGCTAAAATTCTAGTAAAAACAAGAAAAAACGTTAACTCTGGTTGCACCGAAGCTATAATACCCTTCACAAATACAAAGGCGCCTTACAAGAACTTGATTCTGATTTAATGTCGTAAATATATATCGTCAAATACAAAAGTTTTCCATGCAAGCACTTTATTCCCATCGTTCAGTTAATATGGCAGCTATAGTCATTCGATCTATATGATTTCTTCGGAGATTGCAGTATTGCTTTAGACAATAACCCATGCCAAACTTCGTGAAGATCCCACGTCAAATGAAAGAGTTCTCCATACAAGCACTTGTTTCCGATTGTTCAGTTTGTATGGCAGCTATATGCTATAGTGGTCCGATATCGGCCGTTCCGACAAATGAGCAGCTTCTTAGTGAGAAAAAGATAGGTGCAAAATTTCAGATTGTTAGCTTTAAAACTGAGAGACTAGTTCGCGTAGATACAGACGGACAGACGGACGGACGGATAGACCGGCGGACATGGCTAAATCAACTCAGCTCATCATGGTGATCATTTATATATTACATACATATATATATTTTAAAGGGTTTACGACGTTTCCTGCGGTGTTACAAACTTCGTGGCAAACTTAATATACCCTTTTCAGGGTATACAAATATGCAGCTGGCATATATGGTCCATACATACTATCACTATCAGTTTGCATCCGGATTTTATAGTGCAACATTCATGTGATGGAAATTGAGCGAAGCCATAAACTTCGGTTTTCACAAAAATAAACATAGATATACTATACATCGAAAAAAAATCTAAAATCGAATTTTGAGTTTATAGTGAGTTTACACTTAAATAATGAAAACCTAACTTATTCAGTGCTGGAATGGGTATAAATCGAGAGTTCGTTAATGTTTAGTGTTGATCACCTACTAAACTCACGTACATACTAAAATCAGAGAACGTAAAGCAATAGTAATATTTTAGGTGAATTTGCCGTCTGAAAGTTTGCAAATGTTCGCTGTCGAGCGTGCACATTTTCATTGTTGTTGTAGCGGAAGAATTTTGCCGAGTTGACAGTGCTTGTCCAGATAAAGTGTGAGTACGTTTTAGTTACGTAGACCCAACTATGGCGGGAACTCTTTTATAACCAGCTCATTGTTGTAAGTTCTCTGTTAAAACCATTCCGCTACCGGAGCCCAACCGATTTCACCTTATTAAATAATAAACAAATAAAGTTTGAGTTACTGCTATTTTAGTTGTATTTTATATATACATATATATATATATATTTTTTTTTTTCAAAACGTGTTTAAACAATTGTATTTATAATAAATTCAGTTTTACAGTCATGGATATGTAAGTACAGCAGAACACTGTGACTGCAAATTGTATATTGTACTTTCTCTGCGATTTTTGTATTTGCCGACATTAACAATAATATACAATAATAATATTAAACTTGCTGCGCCGCAACAAAAAGTTAAAGATACAGAAGCAATGCCAAGTACATGCATTCATTTACAATAATTTGTTCACATTTTTACAATTAATGGATGTGCAAGCTGCTGAATTGAATATAATAAGGAAAAATAAATAAATAAATCTTAAGGATGAGTAGAAATTGTTATGACATGATAAGAGTGTAGAGAGCGCATAATATACGAATGTCAGATATGTAATAAATAAAACTAAAGTACACACATATTTATGAGCAAAATAAATAATGACATTAACTATAATTATAAAACTAGTTTTTACATTTAAATAAACTAAATGAAAATTCTATGAATTATAATATAGTAACAAGCGTATAACACATACATACATACATACATATATATGTATATATGTACATTTTATATTACATACAATTTTAATAGATTTTTATATTCAACATTAAACTAAGCTACCAGATAACTAGCGTAAATATTATTTTAGCAAATGCATTTTGGTGCGCAACCAGTGGCTCATTTGCTGGACTTAAATACAAACGTGCTTTGAGCATGCATTTACTTACAGCCAGCTTGTTTGCTTGCTGGTTACAACAAAATATCATACTAACATATAACTGCTGCTTAATACTATTTTGATACCGCATCATGTACAATTAAAAAAAAGTGTATGTAAAGCGACGGTAGAGCTTTTCTTTTTGATACTGTTGCAATTGTGCTTAGGTATTATTTGTTCATTTTGTCCGTCTCACACCATTTGGAGTTTTTGTTTGCAATTTTGATTTTCATATTCACTGGGATTGTCTTATATTTATTTATATAGCTTATTGTTTAGCTTAGTGTTGTTGGTTTGGCGATGGCATGCCATCTGTTTGTTGCTGTTGCTGCTGCTGCCCGTGACGGTGTCTTCTGTGGCGCTGCACATTGTTGTAACAATTCAAATTCGCTGTTACACGGCTTAGTAATTCTGTCATGCGATTCGGTATTTTTAGGAGTTGTTGACGTCGTTGACGCTTCGTGCAAACACCGTTGCGCGCACAACTGCTGGCATCACTGTTCAATTGTTCCACCACAGTTGAGTGTTGTACATATGTAACGAATGTGTTTGCATGTTGCAGATCTTCCAGATCGACAAGATCTTGCAGCGCCTCCACTGACACCACACGCATATTCACTAAGCCATCAACGAAATGTGCGGCAGCATTGCTGCCCACTCCAACACTGCCATGCCTAATAGTAGCGCCGACATTTACGCCAAACGTAGCTGCATGCAACATTATTCGACCGGCATCACCGGCGCCAGTGTTGGCTCGCACAGTACTGGTGCCGGTTACAATGGCGGCCCGATAATTGGCCGCGTTCAGCGGACACTAGGTATATGTGAGTAGTCTTTCATCGAGTAGTTTCACGCGCAATTTCTGTTTGTAGTGGTATTCCTTAAGGAAGGATTTTAGACGCACGGGCAACTCCAGTTCGGATACACCGTCATAGCTGGTGTTCGATACAATGGCGGCGCGTGCCAATTGCTGTAATGAGAATACTTTTTTGCGATGGAATGGTACGGTCAGCATTGGTTCGAAGAACATAACACTGCCGGGATCTTTGTAATGTTCCAACAAACCGGTCACGGTGGATGTGCTAAATACGGCTGGGTCATGACAGTCAAAGCTAGAGGCAGAAACAACAAAAATTAAGTAAATATAAACATTGCTGATTTTGATTAATAATAAATAGTACTTTGCATTTTTATTCGGAAAAATATGAAAAAATATGAAAAATTTACCTAAATTTGTGTCCACTCTGTTCGATACGCGCATGTAACGAACGTCCGTACTTTCGGAATGTTACCGAGAACAGGTATTCCTCTTGCGCAGAGTCGCGTAGCAAAAATGTGCCCTCAGACTTGCCCTCAAGCAAACGTTCGGCCTCATAGCGATCCATTTTGCCCCAGTAAAAACTCGAATTGAAAATTCGCTCCAAATCTGGCACGAGGTAGTGTACAAAATCTACTTGTGAGTGTACAATAGGTGACGTCGCTGTGGATAAGACATGTACGGCATTCTTCGTAATTGAAGTTTGCGATATATTTGTGTGATCACGTCCTTCATTAGTTCTTTGTGGATTACTGTTGCATTTTTCACCGACCACCGATTCGCTTTCATTTCTAATAACGTTTCCGATTTGCGCTGTCGGTACACGCTCTGCTGGCTTACTCGTGATTGCTGTTGCTGTTGCCGATGTTGTTGTTGTCGTTGGACAAACCACTACATTTATGGAAGAGATTATTAAATCTTTATTGGATGCCCAAACGGCGAGCTGCTCATTTGTTGCTGTCACTGTCGGTGTTGGCTGCGCTGCACTTGAGGTAGTTATTGATACTGGAGTTGGAGTATGTGTGGAAGTTGTCAAAGAATTAACATTACTAACAGCACTATCACGCTGACAGCTGGAAGTGCTGACCGTAGGTAGTGACATTCTTACTTCACTGTTCGACGGTCGTAATTGCTTTTGTCGTAAATGCGCCTCAGCTGTTACTGGCGGCGCTTGAGAAGTGTTTCGGGAATGATTAGCGCTGCTGTCGTTACAATGATTATTGTTGTTGCTATTTGATAGTTTGTTTAGTTTGTTGCTGCCTGAGGAGGATGATGATGATTCTAGCATGCTTTTCAAATTCATAAATGCCGACTTGGCTTTCTGACGTCGGCTACTCACTGACGGCCGGTTATGCGTTGTAGCTGTGTTCTCTTCCATAATCTCATAATACTCAACATTGCCAGCGCGATCCGCTGCTTGTTCCACCAAAGGTTCCGTAATGCGCAAAACATTTAAATTATTTGGAAGGGACGCTCTATTGCTGTTGGCATTGTTATTGTTCAACATTGAATTAATGGAGCTGCCAGCAGCTTCCACAACACCAGCATCTGTGTGCGGCACCTTATTCGAATTTGTATCGACTAAGCGACGATAAGTATCGCTATTTGCCACCACATGCGCATGTGACTCAGCTGTTGGTTGCAGTATGTTTTGTTGGGTATTATCCATCTCAGGCGTATGTGTTTTGAAATGTATTTTTATAATAATCTGACCGGTTGAATTACTGGCCACTGATGAAAGGTTGGAAGTTTCAGCTATTGTATCGCTATCCAGACGTAAAATTGGCAAGAACTTATCACCGTAGACGGCGGCGACGTTAGTGCTGGTTAGTGATGCTATTGAGTTTCTATAAAGCTGACCACTTTCACTATTTGCAGTTGAAGACGTTTTTGAAAAGCGACGTGATGAATGACGACGTGACGAATGTTTGGTTAATTTGGTCGACGATGATGTTTCCTTAATTGAATTTTTGTTACCGTTGGTGAGGCCAGCAGATATTTTGCTGGAACGGTGCCCCATCGGAAGATATTTATACAAGTTGATAATTTCTATCTCTGTACATCTGTGTGTTATTCATATACAGCGCAAGAGAATCAGAAGTTAACTGAAATATAAAGAAAATATTGCATTATATATAAAAAAAAAACAATAAATCAGAAAATAATTAAATTAATATTATTGATCTATTACATTCAATTTAGTTAAAAGAATAAAATGTAAGTTTAGGAATTTGAGCATGCTGCTTGGTATATTTCGATTTTTATAAAACAATCACGACTTATTTGTGGTATAAGCTTACTTTATTTATTTACATTAACGTTGTCTGCATACGCGATGTGTTATGTGAGCGCATATTTTTGTAATTTTCATTTATTTTCGCAATGCAAATTGTTTAACACACCCCAGAGATCAGCACACTTGTGCGGCGAAAACAAACGCGCCACTGCCTTTATAGAACTTTCAGCACTGCTACGTGCATACATATGTACATATTCTCCCAGAAAATTATATTTGTTATCAATTTTCAACGAATCGCACACTCTCTCCGATAAAAACACACGCGCACCAGTTTGAAATTAGATTTACTTTTTATTTTTTGAGTATGCGCACATACATACATACATGTATGTATATATACAAGTATTGTATATGGTTTGTATTTTTGTGTCGCCCATTCATGAAAATGTCATGAATATAATGCACAAACACATACAGCTGAATGAAAAATTGCAAAAGATAACAAAACAGTTAAATAGTACAACAAAAAATTGTAGTTATATAAATTCATATGGCTGTGTATGTACGTTTTCTAATAACTAAACTGAAATTATTATTTTGTTTACAGGAAACTGAACTTTCAGGTGATATTTGTAATACACCATATAATCAGATTAGTGTCGAACTGACAAAAAAAAAATAAATAAATTTACGCGGATTTTAATACAAATCGTTATTATCGCCTTCATAAAAGGGACACGAGCCAATACAAGCATGCCGACGCCTCATTCAATTTTCCATACACCGGCTGAGAGTTTTTTTCTGTTACGGCGCATTGTTGGAACGCTAGTATATTGGATAGTTTCGATTTTTTATTCATAAATCCATTGCATGTAGAGTCCTCAGCTACATTAACAAGCATTTCTTTTGCGACTTCTATTCGACGTCGTTTAAGCAAAAGATTCAGGTATTTTGATACGCGACTAGCAGTGACACGCTTCATACCCAAAATATTAACCAAAATGTGTTGAGTCAATCCATAAGAGACGCATGAGACAAGTTTTCAATGACTTCACGACCTTTAATGGATACTACTCAAAATACTTACATATGTACGTGATAAATTAGATACCACAAAACACATCTGCAATATTTTCAACGATTCCATTGCAAACACAAAATTTTACGGAAACTCGTAGTTCAATTTTTTTCTATGCTAAAAATTGCCAGCCAAACGTTTCGCATCGTAAGCGAACTGCTGCTAAATTAATGGACATATGGAGATCGAACTCCACACGAACATAAAAAATTTCTAACAAGGAAAAAAGTTTATAAATTCGTTTTGCGCGCGCACAGTTTATATGGGTCAGTCCGGGTCAAATTTGATCAGATGGTATGTATGCATTTAAATAATTTTTTAACAGTTTTTGGTTTCCTAAAAATATACCAGGCGTTAGGAAGACAAACTATTACTTATCACCCAAACGGGGACTAGATAACCGTTACAACAACAACAACAATACACTTGATTTCCACGATCGGGTCTATGCAAACAGAACGAAGCTGACGTTTTAGCCGGCCAAGGACTGTCAACTCGGCAACATTCCTCCATATTACTTCAGGGATGTTTTCTGCCACTACAACAACAATAATTATATTAAGCACGCCTACATATGTATGTATATATAATACTATTTCAAATGCCTACACATACCACTTTGCTTGTAGGTACCCAACATACTCATCGCCACAATGACTGTTTGAAATACAAACAAAAAATAAATGTAAAAATAAAACCCAACAATGAGTCTGCAATACGAAGAACTTAAGCGAAAATTTCAAAAGGCTGATCCCTCGAATTTCTTGATCTTCGATTAATCTTTTTTGTTTTTTTTTGTGTTTCATTGCGAAAATGCGAGTCCAAAGAACAATGCGACAGTTGGCTCAGCAGTTAATAATTTCAATTTCGTAGAATATTGTGATGTGTGGTGCATGCTGCTGACACCAGTCAGCCAGCCGAACAAGCGACTAGCCAACCAACCGTCGTCAGTTAAGCGGACCCAACAACAACAACAATAATATGTAGTGACTCACACTCAATGGTTACCATCTGCTGTTGGACGGTTGGCGTTTACCATTAAGTGTCTGCTGGCTATGCTAACAATACATGAGCATAATAATACAGAAATGTGCATACATGCATATATCGAAGAGGAGCACCCAGCAGGGAAAATTTTCAAAAACTTGTGTTGGTGGTAGACTTTGCTGATTTTTGCATCTGTCGATATTACACACTTCTGAGAACTAAGTAATAATATTCAAGGGAATGGAAAGTGGTAGTCGAATCTAAATATCATACATATGTTGTTGTTTTTTTAACGGCAGAAAATATTTCTCTAATAATTTTGTGGAATGTTGTCAAGCTGACAATACTGCCGAAATAAAAATTATTTGGCATACATATTTTGTAGTAGAATACACTTTTTTTAATCATTATTGACGTACTTAGCAGGCGTTTATTTTAAGATAGTCGTAACTAAATGCGGTAAGCCGAAAAACCGTTGGTATATGTAATGTTATTACCTGTTAATCACAAATTTATACACATATTTTGATGGTGAAATTTAGTTTAGAATTCAAAATTAGTCATCTGTCCTTATCTTCTGCGCTTTTAATTAAATTTGTGCTCGACTTTTACTTTTAATTTTCCTACAAGTAAATACTGCATGCAAGTGAATAGTAGTATTTATGAATGTAAATATGTAGTATATTGAAGTTGCAGAAAGTCGTCAAGTATTTCATCATAACTTTTAATATAATTGGTCTATTGAAAGGGCGGTGTCAAATCGCACTACCAACACATGTACAATAATATGTTATGTTATCTTAGATTTAATATGCATTTATGATATATGTACATAAGTACATGCATACATACATATGTATGTAAGTGCAGATATGCAGACAATTTACAAATTTTCTGTAAATGCAATATTTATAAGCATGATGTCGTTTACCCGTGCTCGCCACTTTCAACCAGAAATGCTTCCGCAGAAATGTATTTAATGGATTTTTCCGTTAATGCTTCCTACAATTTCCTCGTAAAATTCTGGTCACTTAACGCTTTCACACAAAACAAAATTCGAGTTCAAACAGTGGTAGGTACGAATGTACATATGTATGTATTCATATCTATGTGTGTGTGTATGCGCATCGGCATTTGTTTGTATGCCGCTTTGCAGCTACGAGGAATTCATATGAAATTTCAAACCCACTTCATTTTCTGTTTCTGGAATACGAATGCATTCTATAGAAAAGTAAATGATGTTTTGATTGTTGTTGTTGCTGCTGCAGTAGCAGCGTGCAGTTCGCTTTGTACTTTGAAGTCAGAGTGTATGAGCTACAGAAATTTTCTTGGGAACACAATCAAGCGTCATTGCACAATTTTCAGAAACGAATTCAAATATACATAAACATACATTCAAATATAAAAACGTATTAAAAAGAAAAATATATAAAAATATGTACATATGTACATCCATATGTTAGCATCGCAGAAAATTAAGTTGTTTCATTTCAAACAACCAAGCCTAACAATTTCTTATGAAGAGCGTGTTAAGCATTTGAATTCTTCGGATTAAACAATCCTTTGAATAAAACTTTAATTATAGCTTATTTCAAACCAAATTGCAAAAAAAAATATGCGCACATAGTGAAGTAGATATGTACATATTGAAAAATTTAGCTCCATTATTTTCGTAGTAAAAATTTATTACGTTTCAAGAACAACGGTAAATGGCATATTCTCTATCTCTGTTTTTCATCATTTTTACTACAACTTCACCATATAACAAAATTTTACTTTTTATACACATTGTTCGTTTGGTTAAACGACAAAAATTCTTTAGGTGACACTTCTGATCGGGGACAGTCGCGTTTCGTACACTGTACAAGCAATGATTAACTCTAAAAATCCCATATGTACCGAAACAAATGTTTTCTACAGTTACACACCGCTACATATGTATGTATGCACATAATTACTAGAAATTACAACAACAATTGGCCGTTTGTCTCGTGCTGCGCTTTAAATGTTAAAAAGACCTTGACAAACATATCGGGAAATTTCTTTGATATCCTTTTCGTGAATAACTTCACAAATGCAAACACATAGTGTATGTTCATATATATGTATATACAACAACAATAAATGAAAAACCTCCGACCTAGTTTGGAGTTAATAACTTACAGTGATTTGTACACAAAGTATAAGGCAAAGATGCGTAAGAATTCACACATTTTCAAAGTAAAACAAATATTTACACACACACACACATGTGATTTTTTGTACAGAACTTCGGCTACAATGTGCATGTGCATGAATATACATACATATGTTTGTATGTATGCAAATACTAAACGCTCCGAGTGTTAAATTTTTCTAAAAAAAAAATATCAGGCACAACAAAATTCAACAGATACATAGATACATACATATGTACATAAATATTGTGCATCATAGCACGCACTTAATTAAGTTTTAGCTGGAAATTATTTTTTATTTTCCCATACGTACAAAATTATTTTTGTATTATATATGGAGCTGTATATGTACATATGTACATACAAGTATATATGTATGTATAATGTACATATGTTTGTAGATAAAAACAACCACAATCAATTTTGAGTGCAATGATTTCGCAAAATAATTTAAATTGACATACGCCTGCGGAGGGCAGGTGGTTACGGCGAAAATGTCGTTTGGGTTGTTTGGGTATTCCAGGAAACTCTCATCTAATTGTGTGTGTTTGTATGTAGGTCGTTGATGAGTGCGTGTTGGCGCAAAATTCAAGCGAATCGTTAACAGTATTGCACGGATTCTTCTTGGAACTTGTTAAAATGATGAAGAGGAAATGGTGTTGAATATTTCAGCGTATGCTTGTGTAGATATATTTGTGGTAGCTAAATAAAATTGTGCAGAAACCATGTATGTATATATACTTGTATAATATATATAGTGGCTCATATATGTATATAAATTAAATAATGGATTACCAAACATAAAATTATGAATAATGGTCAATAAATTTCGAAACATAAATAACGGATACTCTCTATAATAATATGTAAAGAGTACTTAGTGAAACTTTTTTAGCAGCCTTTTTTTTCATAACTTCCTTTCGACATACTATGCTTTTGTGACACTTAAGTAGTAACACATAAACAAAATGCAGAAGATAAATCGATACATGTTATATAGTTTCAACACAGCTGTCAGAACACTTACTTTTAAGGTTTAATATAAAAAAAAATATAAATGGAAATTATATTTCAGCTAACGCTCTCTGATGCATATCTTTCAAGTCCGCTAATATTGGAATGAAGCATCTATAATTTTTTAAAGTCTGCTTATATTGGAGTGAATACTTTTCTTCTGTATGGTTAATGCTACATATCGCTATCACTCCTCTCAATTCAAATAGAAGTTCAGGTTTCATTTTACAAATTGCTAAATTTTCCACAAGATTTTCAGGGAAACTTTATATAGGCATACATATGTATATAATAGTAGATATATACACACAAACAAATCAACCACATCTGTCATTGCTGCTTAAATTAAACAGTATCAACTGCGTTGTCTTTCTTCGAAATCTGTTATCAAAAGCTCAATGCCGTTTTTCTTGGTAGTTCTCCGATTAAACGTGAAATGTATGCACTACATATAATTGTATATCTTTTACCTATGTACTTATACATATCTACATGAATTTCTTACTTAAGCACTTTGTCAATTTCTAGGAAGCAATGTCTATTCGAACGCATAACGTTAAATATTGTAGATTAAATACTTAATAAATTTACGAAGGTCATTCAACGTACATAAGTGTGTTGATAATATTTGTTTCACTTAATGCAAATAATACTTCGTAGTATGGACTTATCAATCAAGTTACACAGGTGTACGTACATACATATTTATGGATAAACATGAGCTTGTTTAATTAAATTGAGTTTAGCTCTCAAATGAAAACAAGTTATTTTATAATTTTCAGGTAAATAATTATATTATATACCATAAAAAGAAATAAAAAATTAAATTTACGAGTCTGTACACAACCGTGTTTATTATATACATATTATTGTTAGCAGAATTTTAATTATTAATGCAATTCTGAATAATAATAAATGAATATATTTTTATTTAATTAGGGTAATTTAAACTGAATTCCCCATTTCAGCTTTTTTTATATTTTCTAACCTATATGTACATATATTTTAACATACATACATAATTTAACAGCACTTTACCTAGTAAATATGCGGTAACTTCGTGGCAATGGTAGTATGTATGTATGTACATACATATGTACGTCGTGTGTAAATGTATGTATGTATATATTGTCGATTATAACTTCCAATTAAACAGATTTCATAGAATGATTTGAGTATAACAGACTTTACTCATAATTCTCTATGCGATAACAAGTTGTGCTTCCTATGAAATTGTTTATCTGAGTATGAAAACAAATAACAACATAAATACGATGATAAAAAGTATAACCATGAAAGAAGGACTTACATGTACATATGTATGTATGTACTTTACCCTATTATACAGTACTATGCTGATTACTCATAAATACATTCCACTTGACAACTTCATATTATCACATAATTTGTTTTACAGGTACTGTAGTAATAAAAAAAATTTTAATTGGAATTCTCTAACAATCATTGTGACTATCCGGGTATTTTATACATTTATTTCTTTTCTAAAACTAACTTGTGTATATACATACGTACATACATGAGCGATGAGGCAATAGAAAATTGCTCATTACGTAGGACTTAATAATAATTAGCGCGCGCGAGTCACGAGTATTGTTCCTATTAATAGTATGATGTCACAGCCGATGACAAGCCTCCAACGTTTTGCATATTTTTAACGGGTTTTCAAAAGTCCACATTTTTGCAATTACTAACAGTTATTTTGAGAAAATATTTTAAACCTATATACATTTGTGTGTACATATGGTTGAGCAACTAACTGAAGTGTACACAGACGTTTATAATTGTAAATACATTTAAATATTAGACGATACTATATAGGAAGATGATTGATTAAACTTTAATACACCTGAACTAATGTGGTAAGCCACTATTCGTGGAACCAGAAATAAATATTTGCAGATCTATGCAGCGACAAATAAAATTACGGCGAAAATTTATTTTCTGTACTTTTTCACTTTGACATTCAGCAACTAATTTCGCTTCCATTGTAAATTCACAGAAACAATTAAAAATTTCCCACGAATCGAAATAAAACGACATGAAATGTCTATTTCTTGTTTTTTTTTTTCTCTGCCGCACGCTGGCATTCATATAATACATTGCACACAATACCTCACTCGCACACCTTTTCTTTAAACGTTGGCAACCGAGAGTCAATTCTCAGCCTCTGTTGGGCTCTCATTTTTTTCATTTACGCTCTTATTCGATTTGTTTCATAGACGTATGTATATGTTTTTACACAGTCACACACACACGCAAGGCTGTCGTACATTGCCATTGAATAAGTGGCGCTCAGCGCTTTCCGTTGGCCACACGGCACCCCGCGTATTTTGCTCCCATCATTCACACTTTACCAAGTATTTATTTTTCGTACTGTATTGTTGTTTGTGTTGCCTTTGCCGTCCTCACACAACGCTATGTAATTTTGTTGTTGCCTCTGGCTGTTTTTGCTGTGTCTTGTCTGTCACTTCTGAGAATTCGGTCTAAATTAGAAATGCGCTTCTCGGAAATTGGTATCTGAATGCGTCAATAATTTTTGCTTCTTTTTTGGCCGTTTTCTGCCTTTTGATTAAAATTTCTTGGAATTTTTGTTATTCAACTAATATTCAATATTTAGTGTACACAATTTTTAATCATACCACAAATTATTTTCGCGATTTTCACTGCACAAATATGTACTTGTAGTATTTCTATTTGCAACACATTCGTATAAATCATTCCGTAATCAAACCACAAACAATGTTGCTTAAACTGAATTTCACGATTTCTCAGTATTTTATTTACCTGTATGAATCGCACTCAGCTCCTCAATAAGTATTTTTCTTAATATGATTTTTTTTTTGTACACATGCACAAAACCATTTAATATATTTTAATGCAAGTTGTTTTTTTTTTTAGTTAGCACCTTTTTTACTTTAGTGTTACTTGGGCAATTGTCAATATTTAACTAAATGCAATTTCCTGTTTTCACAATATTTTATTATTTATTGCTCTATGAATTTAACCAAACGCCATACTTGCTGGCACTGAAAACTGGTACTAAATTAGTGAAAAAGGAGACCGACTATTAGCAGGGTTGCATTTAAAGAAATTACCCTGAGTGCTGCCAGATGCATAAAATTGATAGCTATTAGTATTGGGCAATGGCGAAAACGAGTAATTGCGGAAGTGCTACACCTGAAAATGTCAAAAGTTGGAATGTACCGTATATCCGTTAATTTAAAATAATACAACACGTGGCAACATGGCAATTAATACGCTTTTAATAATCTTTTTCATTTTACTAGTATTTTTTCGTTGTTTTGTTTTGGTTATAGCTTTAAAAAAGTGTTAATATGACAAAGAGATGTAACACTATTTCGACTTTTACACACACATAAATACGAGTACATAAAAAAAGAAGCGATGTTTACCTACTTGTAGTGCATAATACAGCGGTACTGCAAAGAGTATAAAACACGGACATAAAATTACAGAAATATTGTTAAAAAATAAAAAAAAAATAACTTATTTGCTATTCGAAACTATTAAAGAATTTCCAAGATTTATTTTATTTAAAACGGTACAAATTAATGTATGTACAGTGGTACAATCAATCGCACGCTTTGAGTTTTCTATATATTCAAGTTTTTAGATAATACTATTTGCCATAGCACAATAATCTAGTTATCAACAAAAGCGAATAGTAAGTCTTGAAGACAAATATAATCTTGTCAGACCTTAGTTTGCATTTGTAATTTCAACAACAAACAACGTGAAGCAGCAGCCACAGCAAGGCAAGTGCTGACTGTGCGTCTTTATAACTTATTTAATTTAATTGCCTTCAATTGGACTTGAAGCTTTATCACAGCTTGAGTGGGTGGGTGGACAATTAAACATTTTGTTATATAAACAGCTGAAGCATTCAAGACATGGATCAAGTTGATAGTCCACAAATACGCCGATCTACATCGATGCCGGTTAAACCGCGACCGATTGAACCCAAATCACTCAAGCGTTCTGAAGAAAAGGAGCGCATCAACGATTCTGTCGACTATTATCCAGAGAGTCCAGTTGTGCAGCGCCGAAAGAAAAGCGATTTAGATGGACATATAAGTAGAAGTGCTAATAAGTGAGTATGCTTTAATTAATGGAAAGTAGCTTAAGTTGATTTAGTTGTGCACATATAAACATGATAAGTATATACGTATGTATATATGTATGTATTTCTATATACGTGTATGTATTTTGTTCGACCTGAGTGCTCTAACTAAATCTGCATTTTTGAATTTAAATTCAAGTGCTTAATCTTTTTATCTGACTGTGAGTCAGGCCATTCAAGTTTTTTAGAACAAGCTGTGTCGAAGACAAAGTGGGCATCAACAGCAGCAACCGAAAATCTCACATATTATCGCTTCGTTTTTTTTTTTAAGTTAGTGTTTACATAGATAATAAAGTATAAGTGAATAGCAGTTAGATAAAAAATAAAATCGGCTGAATTTGCTGAATGATTTTGCACGTATATCGCCTTAGAGCTTCTGGAGTACCTGCCGCGAAGCTAACACATACGACGCTAGTGACCATTATATTCAACTCAAGGTTTATCTATTTGCATATGCATCTACATGTCAAAATATGCACATTTTTATAGAAGAAAAAACATTTCACATTTTTGACAAGTTTTGCAAATATTAGTTTGTAGACTTTGGCGCGTTCTTTTAAATTTCATACTTACTCAACTATTGGACGTAGGACATTTTTAGATTGATTTATGAATTCAAATATGTATACTTGCATATACATATAAACATATGTATAATGCACTGTTATTTTGACGAGATTAATGCTTACATGCATTCTCTAATATGCCGTTAATCTTTTCAGTGTGCCTTGCGCAAGCGATTGGGTTGGTAGTACAATTGAATTGAATCGTGATTGCCGTTACAGTGGTAAGTTAACGGTTTTCACTTATTAGTCGTACTCCTTTGCAATTCTAACATACAGATTAATGTAGATCCAATGTGTTCGCGACATCGTCATTATCGTGTCATAGAGAAAAGTGGTCATGAAAATGTCAGTTTTCGGCGTATTCCACAGAAATCGTGGCGCTATGTTAGAGATTTGGTAACCACAATGGTAAGCGCATTAACACGTTTAACCCCAAAGAAATGTCTTACAACAGCACCTTCAAATATGAACAACACAATAACACCAGCATCAACTAAATTAAGTTTCGAACAATCGGATTTAGAGTCATATGCGGAAGATGATGCATACAGTTATTCGGACACAAAGCAAAAAAATACAAATGGAAATTTTCGCATTTAAAAATTGTATGCACGGCTGAAAGCCATAACAAATTGCATCAACAGAAATTAAATTGAATATAGTAATAACTAAAATAACATAAGTCACCATTGTACAAATATACATATGTATGTATGTATGTATTAAACATATGTCCTGGATTTTATGTGCATGCACTTTTGTATATATGTAAGTACATATGTACATATTATAGTTTTCGTTGAAACCAAGCATTTATTAAATACTAGCCAAGTTATATAATCACAAATACTCAAATAATATGTATACAGTTATTTGCACTAACGTTAAGTTATGTCATTTGTTGCAATAAATCACGATTAACAACTAATTCATAGTTTTTTCTTCTTATTACTACTAAAATTGCAATAATACAGTTTGAGAGGCACTGTATGCATAAAGGATGTGTATATATATGTATGTATGTAGTATACAACAATTTGGCTCCACCATTCACTGCATACTGCATTGCTCGTGTATATAAATATATTTCAAAGTCAATATGTTCATTTGCACTGTTTTCTCGGCAAAGCAAGTGCAACATTTTTTCAAATTTAACTGCATTTATTTTGAAAACTAAATTCAGTTGCGATTGGTCAGCAGTTAACACTATAATTAAATCAAAAATTATAAGTATATATATGTATACATATGTGTGTATATGCTTAGATTGAACTAGATTGGAAAATTGTGCTGACAATTTTTATTGGAACTTACTTCCTCACTTGGTTCTTCTTCGCCTTGCTCAATTATATGATTGCCTATTCGCATGGAGATCTAATGTTTGACGAAGTCACCGGCGAGCGTTTGGGCGAGGGCAAGGAACCATGTATTAAGGGCGTATATAATTTCGTCTCGATGATCATTTATTCAGTGGAAACACAGACCACAATTGGTTTTGGTGAGAAATATGCGAGCGACGAGTGTCCGGAAGCTATATTCCTATTCGTAATGCAAATGATAATGGCTATTGGAATTGAAGGGATGCTCGTCAGCATGGTATATGCAAAGACGGCAAGGCCAGCAAAGCAAATAACTAAAATGAAATTTAGCGACAAAGCGGTGGTAAGTAAACAAAAAATTTGACAAAATCTAAATTTCGCGAAACTTTCGGTGTTTTGCACCCAAAATGTCGCCTTGTATTTTGTTTTGCTAGAAAGAATTATGTATTTTCCAGATTTGTTATCGAGATGGCAAACTTTGTCTCTTATTTCGTGTTTGCGATCCACGCAAACAACAAGTCATCGAGTCGAAGATACGCGTATATCTCATAATGGACAAAACGTAAGACCTGTTACCTGTCATATGTGTTGAAATATATCCTTAATCCGCCTATTTGAATAATTTTTTTTTAGCACACGCGAAGGTGAGTTCGTGCAAACACGCACTGAACTGAAATTGGATGGCAACGGTGAGCAAATTATTGTTTGGCCAGAAATTGTATGCCACATCATAGATGAGACAAGCCCCTTGTACTATTTGAAATCGGCTAAAGATTTGAATGAAGCACAATTTGAATTGTATGTATCGATTGTTGGTTGTTCTGCCGCAACCGCTATGGTAACGGAGACACGCACTTCCTACATGCCATGTGAAGATATTTTCTGGGGACAGCGCTTTGTTAACATTATCAACTATGACTCACGTAATGAGCGTTATATCGTTGACTATAGCAATTTTAATACAACTATATCGGTACAGTTAAAAGTTGCAAACAAATGCAGAGTTTTACAAGTTTTACTTGTTTTTTTTTTTTTTTTTGTAGGTTGACATGAAAACTATCGACCAGGCTTGCTTGGATAACAAGGCATAAATGAAAGTAATGGAAATGGAACACAATTTGTGTTACTTATATATGATTTTTAATAATTTTGATGTGTATAATATTTGCAGTAATTTTTTAAAACTCAATTTATTAACTGGCAAAACTTTATATTTGCACTAATAAAGTATACAATTATGTTAAACATTTAATTATTAGTTAGTAAATTTTTATTTCTACATGTATGATTTTTGTTTTGGCAGCATAAAGTCTTTTTGCGTGGAATTATGCAATAAATGAAATACAATTTCGTTTTAATAAGTTTCTACTCAGTGCGTTTTCTTAATTCACTACATTATATTTATTTCTACAGATCTTGGAGATCAAAATAAATTTTTTTTTATTAATTTACTTTTCAACGAAATGTTCAACTATGAAAAAGGCATTTAACTACTTTTTTTCCATGATTTGCTGTAGCTGTGCTTTCAATAATTCGTTTTCATCTTTCAAACGCAAAAATTCGTTGACAAAAGGATCAGTTTGCAGCAGATAACTCAGCGCATCACGTATATCTTCACTAGTGTTCATTTGACGTGCCCAAATGTCAGCTATTTGCGTAAACATTTGCCACTTATTTTGCTCAGCGTTAAATTTTATTTCCGATTCTAGTTTTTGAAATCGCGTATTCATTTCCAAGCGCAAATTTGCAATGTGCTGTAAAATATCACCTTGTGTGGCAGTAATATTCACAGCCTCTACATGCTTATTTTCAATAGTATTTACAGTTTCTACATGCTTATTTTCGTTGATTATTTCTGACTTTATATGTTCTAGTTTTTTGAATTTTATGTTATCTATTGGTGTGCTATTATATGTATTTAACGGTTTACGCAGTTGACCATCGGCGTCGGAATCCATTTCCGCATTCGATGGATTCTCCTTATCACTGTCATGACTAACATTGTTTTGTTGTGTAATGTGAGCGAATTCCTCTTCTTCAATTTGTTTCAAATTAGTAACCATTTTTGATATACTATTCCGGTCGCGTAGTGGAGCTGTAGATATTACTAAGAGTGCAGAATATATAGTTTATTTAATCACGAAAGCTAGTTTTATTTATAATGTAAACTTACCCGTAAATGGTTTTTTACCGTCCTCAAAGTTCTTACGCCGTGTATTTACATAATCGAAACTCACATTTAATTTTCCATTGGAAATGTTTTCATTCGATTTTTCAGCAGATTCATTAAGGTTTTCACTGCTCCCGTTCAGTTTCGATATGGTTGGGCGTGTATCCTCGGTTTTGGGTTTGCGTCCAAGTGTATCCCAATCAAAACTGTCGCGTCGCATTGTGAAACGAGCCGATGCGCGATCTAATTTATTCGCCTGAAAATCTAGGAAATCACAAAAGGAGTCACGTTGTCGCATTGTTGCGGTCGATTTTTGTTGTTCGCCAATATTATCCGATGGACTACCAGTATTGTTAGCTAATATGCCGCTGAAACTTGTGGTAGTGCTTCCGTCGTCTTCAGGCAGCGGCACAAATGATAGCCTTGTAACAGAGCAATCATGCACTTTTTTCGTGGCTAAACATTTTTTAACCGTCCGTATATCATATGAAATCAATTCACCCTTTAAATTTCCCACACAAAAGTATGTGCCACAACCACTCATTGCCACCGTTGACAGTGGATGAGGATGATTTAGTTTCATTTGTGGTGTTCTACGTCGCGTGTCGAACACATTAACAATACAATCGTAACCGACGCTTATTAGAGAATCGGGTGTTGCAGCGGACATGCATAAATCGCGACAAGGCGAAGTGTGTGCGTCATTTAAATTAAATATTTTGCGTTTAGTTTGCAAATCGTAAACTGTTACTGCGCCCTTAAATGATGCTATTGAAAGTTGAAAACGTTTGGTAGGATGAAAACGTGCCAGAGTAGAGCTAAGAAGAATAAGTTATAATGGAATTAAATAAAGGCTTGTATTTACTTACTTGCCATCTATGTTTACGCTATCGATTTTTGTCTTTGTTTTTGTTCCGTATATGTTGATTTGACCACTTTCAAACACAGAAGATATATACTCATCCGTGCCATTGTAATCCAAATACAAAACGCTATTACGATTATTATCTATATAAATAATAAGAGATTAACAAACGAATATAAATTTTAATTAGAATATATTGTATACTAACCGGCTTTAAAACGGTGTATCAGCTCAGTGTTTTTATAATTGTATATACTAACTTGCCCATTTACTCCACCAAAAGCCATTTCTTCCAGCGATTGCTTTGCGCAAGCGACACTGTAGACATTTCCGATATTTAGTTTGCGCACTCGTTGAATATCTAAATCTTAATATAAAATTTATAACATTTTGGTAGACAACAAACTTTTATATGCTATATAGTATGCTTACTGTTATTGCCCTTATCCTTAATTCGCATAATTTCCAGACCCGACTTTTTATTCACCTCCAGAAAAATACGCTGTCTGGCGTAAAACTGAAAATCCGTTGTTTCTCCATTTGCATGCTGATAAATAGATTTTGTATCTAAATTACTAAAATCCGAAAGCACAGTAGTCTTCCCCGTCGATATTAAATACATTTCCAAAGATTAATTATTAGTGGATCTTAGCAAAAAGTTATTTTAGAACAGCAGGAACACCAATTAAATTTCAATTTCAAACATTTATGTTGATTTCAGTAGTGTTCGTAATGCAGCGACAGCTAGAGGCAAAAATGTTGCGAAAAGAAAGAAACACTGGCGGAATGCAGTGGTGCCGTACAAACGATATTTCTATTGATAATTATTCTTATGGAAATAGTATTTCTTTATTTTATTACACGTTTGATAAAATTAAATGGAGTTGTTTTTTGCAATATCACATGTACTACGAAATTAGAGGTAATATTGACAATACACCTGCTTTAGCAAACCTAAGTAGACGTTAAAATTGTCTAACCATCACAGCTGTTTGTGTCAGGTCTTTGTTTATTTATTGGCATTACTGGCTGTCAAAAAGATATCTGTCGTGGAAGGAAATGTCAGAAATTAGAGGAGGAGAAAATTTACGACGAAAATTATTTTTTCCTCTATCCAATCGTAAATATCGGTAAAAAAATCGTAAAATTGTGTTTTTCTGCAAAGTGCATAGCAAATTTATAGCTATTCTACAAAAATAAAAAGGATTTATATTGCATATAATAATTAAATAAAAGTAAATAGCTATAACTTGCTACAGTGAAGTGAAGTGACACAGAAGTAACATAGAAACGGAAGGAACAGTAATAACAGCAACAAAGAAAAAGTGTAAAGCAAAACGTAGCGGAGCGCCACTTCAGCAATTACTTACGAATGCACTGACAAATAAAATTTGCGTATATTTCTAGGAAAAAAATTAAGTAAATAGCGAATAAATTGAACTCTTTCCAATAAATAATATAACATAAAAAATGAACCGAAGTGATGGTTTGGTGAGACGAGCCGTTAAAACACGGGATAATGGAGCTGAAGGTGGTGCCGCTGGCCTAAATGCAAATACATCGGACGACGATAACGATTTGAATAATAGTAATAAAGACCAAGAGGATAATATAGATGATGGAGATTCCAAACAGACACGTTTAACACTCATGGAAGAAGTGTTGCTGTTGGGCTTAAAAGACAAGGAGGTAAATAGTTGTGTAGCATTTTCGGAATTCTATCAAAATTATTGCATATGCCGTAATTATTCAAGTCCGGGTATTATAAAAACCATACTACAAAATTTAAGTTACGACCAAAACATTAGGCGTTAACCAACACAAGTTAGCCAAAGCTCAATTCTACGATGTGGTCCCAAGAACACGTTCTTCACTTAGAATTGACGTTTTTTATTTATCTGCCTTTACTTTTCAAACTGTTATGGCAATGACGAGCTTCTGCTACCTTCATTAACATTTGATGCGGTGGCGGAACATTTTTGTATTTGTAGTTGCCTCTCTGTTTATTAAGTGTGTTAACATTCAACGTAGGCACATATTGTGTCTTTGTTTTCATTTTCGCACCCTTTCATTTTTTTTATATGAAGTTCACTGTGATGGAATGCATCTTTGTACATCTATTGTGTGGCTTCTATTAAATGTTAATTCAACTTAATCATAATATAAATATGTATATCTATAAATCACGTTATAGATATTATAAGAAAACTATTAGCGACTATTCTAGCGATTCTACTAAAATACTTGCATATATAAACGTTTTCTTATTAATCGGCGTTTGGCCGCAATGACAGGAAAATCAAAAAGCTGTTTTAAAGCAAAAAAATTTTTTTTAACGATATTACACCTATATATATATATTAATTTGTGACATATACGCACATTGTACATAGTTGATGTCCAAAGTAATTTATTTATCAAGTAAACGATTAACTTTTTCTTATCATAAAACAAGTATTTCGCGTATCATAAAAAACCACACAACTATCATATCACTCCTCAAATATGAAATTTTTGGAATAATGGATAATGTGCCACGACTTACGGGGTTTTCAATTTACTTCTTTAGATAAGAGTGGAAGGTGTCCCATTAAGGCAATAAATTATTGTTTTTAAAATAACTATTAAAATAATTAATTTCATATTATTTTTATATGCACATACATATATAATATATGTGTGTACGTATGCATATGTTTCCATCATTTTAATACCTCTTGTGCAGGCTACCACATTTTAATTAATTTAAGTAGTTTTTTGTGTTTTAACGAACATTGTGATAATAACAATGGTTTCGTTTCTTATCACCAAATTACTTCCGCTTTGCTCGGACGCCGACTCACTTAGAAATCTATTCTTACATAGTACATACATATATACATTTTGTTATTTTGAAACTGATATTATTTGAAATGTGTTTGGTGCTCTATATTTTCCATTTTTCATCCATTAATATATGCTTGTTCGTCTAATAGGGATACACATCTTTTTGGAATGATTGCATATCGAGCGGTCTACGTGGCTGCATTCTCATTGAACTCGGTTTGCGCGGTCGTGTGATGATGGAGAAAACGGGTATGCGTCGCCGCGGTTTGTGTTCCAGGTAAAGCAATAATAATAAACGAAAATATGGTAAATACTGTAAAACACAAACATTTAATTTACTATTTGTTTTTTTGTAGAAAACTCATATTGAAATCAGATCAGCCGACCGGTGATGTGTTACTTGACGAAGCGTTAAAACATATTAAAGAAACAGATCCACCAGAAACTGTGCAAAGTTGGATAGAATATTTGAGTGGTAATTAATTGAAGGCTAACCAAAAATGAAATCGTAATTAACAATTTTCTTTAAACTCTAGGCGAAACATGGAATCCCTTGAAATTGCGGTATCAATTGAAAAACGTACGTGAACGTTTGGCAAAGAATTTAGTGGAAAAGGGCGTGCTGACAACAGAGAAACAAAATTTTCTACTTTTCGATATGACGACACATCCGCTAAGCGATAATGTGGTCAAATGTCGTTTAGTGAAAAAGGTTCACATTATTTATAATGATTAAATTTAAATAACATCTGTCATATATGTATATGTTTATTTCGTATTCTACACAGATACAAGACGCCGTACTTTCCAAATGGATCAACGATCCACAACGCATGGATAGACGTATTTTGGCCTTAATATTTTTGGCGCATGCTAGTGATGTAATCGAGAATGCATTTGCGCCGCTAAATGATGATGACTATGAATTGGCCATGAAACGTGTGCGTGAATTATTGGACTTGGATTTTGAAGCGGAGGCGGCCAAACCGAACGCAAACGAAATACTTTGGGCAGTATTTATGGCTTTCAGTAAATAAGATCCTGTTAATTATTATGGGATTGAATGATGAGCAATCACGCTATCTGCCAATGCCACTTTTATATATATACAAGCATACATACACAATATAGTTTACAAAAATCTAGTAGACAAAAACCAACAAATGGATTTTTCTAACATATGAAAATAATTACTATCATAAATTTATATTATAAATATGATGTATTTTATTTTTTCTTGCGAAATGCTACCACATACATATACTTTTCCATTATTTACAATTGTTGTGAAAGATAAAAAATTTAAATAATAATAATAAAAATATACAGCTATACATAGACACATATAAAGAAAAAAAAGATAACAATTTTGAAATAATGGAAAAATAAGAAAATTAGAGAGGTAATATTGCATAATAAATAGTATTTAAAAAGGAGTAAATAATATTAACATTGGTAATAAACAACACATATATTTGACAAAAAAAAAAATGAGACGATAATTGCAAGAGTAATAAAATCATAGATAACAACACAAAACAATAGGCATTTTATATAGGTAATATTACATACATATATATATATATATCGCAAAAAGAGTTTTAGTTTCACAAAGGCATCACTAAATTAAAAATTTAGCATTTGGTGAGCCAAGCTCGAAATCATGTGCTTTTTTGTTTTGTAAAATATTCTTACTAACTTTTACAAAGTTGCAGATGCAATATTTGTATACATGATACGTTTTTGAGTGATTTGAATTGAAATACAATTTTAAACGTCTGCGGATTTTATCTCAATGTCTCTGTGTATTAAGCCACAAAAATGTTAAGAATAGTTATTGCAAAGTAAATGTGAATATAAGAAAATATTTAAAAATACGAAAACAATTGAGTATATTTAGTAACGAACGAATAACGACAACTGCAATGTATTAGTAAATCAAGCACTGAATAATAATTTGCTGTTAACAAAACTTATATGAAAGATAGCTGTTTAAAGTTTTTGTTGCAGCCACGGCGCGTGTCGTTTGTATAAACGCCAATTTATTACATTATTTTCGACCATTTTGTTTTAATAATTCATTTAGCGCCGTTTCAAATTGGTTGAAGATAATTTTTAAATTGTTTGAGCACTTTTTTCTTAAAGTAACAGAAAAAAATTGTTCCATTTCAAAAGTAGTTAAATTTAAGCGTATATACAATTTATTTTCTAAATAAATTCATATTTTAACTTGAAATATATGTAAATGACATTGGAGTACTTTTATGGGTTAATGCAAAATAAGTGAAAACATTTATTTTATATATAGTTATGTATTTACAACTGCAAGCATACATATGTGCACTTTGTAAAAGTCACGAACACTACAACAATAGCCAAACACACCCCTACACACAAATCAATGAAAGAAACTTGCAACGCAGACACGCAGTTGTTTTGAAAACTTGTTTATATAGCTAAATATATATATATATATATATAACTTTATGTATATCTCAGTACATATATACCTACATATATGTATGTTCATATACTGTTTAATGCCAATACAGCCACTCAATGCATTCACAAATACAGTAACAAATGATATAACCGTTGAGTTGAAAATATAAATGGAGCAATAAACTTGTCATGTCTCGGCATTAGCGAAGTGTTTTTAGGGCAAATAATTTATTTTAATAATAAAATTTCATTTGATGTGTCTACGCACATATTATAAACACTGTATATAAACTAGTAAATTTTCTTAATTTGCTGCAATTTCCTTTGCAGCGCTAAATAGTAACGGTTATCATTTTAGGCAGTTATGTGTTTAACCATTTGATTTAGGCAACATTTTGTTGATACATATGTATATATGTAACGAAATATATATATTATATATGAATATTGTATCGTTGGTTTGTACAATAATCCACTCAAAATTTCGCTAAGTTATCTCGTCAAATAAAAAAGTTTTCTGTACAAGAACTTGATTTTGAACGATCAGTTTGTATGGCAGCTATATGCTATAGTGGCGGGAACTGAACAATTTCTTCGGAGATTGTAGCGCTCACTAGAAAAATAATATATGCCTTATTTGGTGAAAATATCTCGTCAAATAAAAAAGTTTTCCGTACAACCACTTCATTATGAACACTCTGTTTGTATGAGAGTTATGTATAAGATATATGGGTCATTCCATGTCAAATCGAAAAATGGACGCGACAACCACCGATTCGAATGAATTTTGGTAGAAAATTTGTTTTATCATAAAACAAGTTCTGCTAAAGGAAAATTTGGAAAACATGTTTCTAAGCGCTCTACGAAATTGAAAATTTCATGTTTTCCGATTTTATGCGTTTATTTATTTAATATTTCAGAAACTACTGTATATTAACAAAGAACGCTGGTGAGTTTTCAGGTAGGTATGGAGAAAAAATAGTTTTGAAAAAAATTTTGAATTTTGGAAATCGTAAAAGTTCACATCGCGGGAAACATTTGGACTCACAATTTTTTATACTATACCTCTAATATATCTAAAGAAATTCTGAAATTTTCAGAGGGGTGTACTTTATCGTTACAAAGTTATGAATTTTTGAATTTGCCAAAATATTTTTGTTTTTCTATTTCAGATGGCCATGGCTAATTGACGCCACTCGCCACGCTGCTTATTTATATATGCATGTATACACTTTATTAGGCCTCCGGCGCTTCCTTCTGTGTGTTACAAACTTCGTGGCATACTTAATATACATATATTCTGTTTAGGTTATAATGAATGACTGAATTAAAAATAGCACAAGTAAAGAAAACTTTTACTAACAAAGAAGTTAGATATGGCGCGCCAACATTTTGGACCGGTCTTATGCTGACATGAGTTTAGAGTTTTAACAACTAAAGATGTGATTAGTTTTGCTGCCGGTCACACTGACTATGTTTATGGTTTGTGGTAAAGATTGTCTCCAAAATTGATTGACCGTAACAAAAGTAAGTACACTAGAGAAGCCGCATCAACGGTTATTGTAGCGTAGGTTTGGCCAGACATGCAGAGTGGATTATATCTAACTTTTTTTTACAATATATTTAATTTACATACATATATAATAAACTAATATAAGCTGGTTCACTCTTGTAGCAAGCAATCGTAACATAACCTCTAATAGTATGTTCAGCAGCCATTACCAACGCTAGTTGCATCCATTACTTTACCTGCGCAACATACAGCACTGCATTTGTAGCATACTCTATGCTGTAACAACAATAAGAGCAACATAACTTCGGAGGTGTACAGTAAACACTGTAACTGACCGGTAATTTATACATTTTTCAAGCTTTTCATTTCAGCTGTATTAAGTGAAGAGCATATATTTTTCTATGCTTGCTACTGAAAAACTCTCCGGAACTGCAGAGCTACCTATTGTTAGCGTGTATACAATCAAAATTGCTTTAGTGATCGCTTAAGTCAACGCAGTGAAATGTTTGCGTAAGAGCAGCCTTCAAATCGAAACAAGTTTTATAATTTCTATCTCTGGCCACTAATCAAAATAACTCGCAAATAAATTATACGTTGCCAATTTTTTTGAAATCCATTATTTAGATGTAAAAATAATTCTAGTAGGGTTAAATTTTAATTTAATATTTATTGATTATTTTATGCAATTTATGTTTTTAAGCGCGACAGCGCCATAACGTTTCAAATTTAATTGGAAAATTGCTATTTTCAACTTTATAGTCTAATTAACTACGGAAGCTAATAAATTTGTAGTACTTTTGACATTTTCACCAATTTTCCAATACCGGCTAACATTGACAATTTTAATGTTTTTTACTTAAGTTGAACATGTCCAAATTTGAAACGTTTCTTATTTACGCACATAAAACTAGAATTGATGTGTAAGCAATGGAAAAGTTGCGCTTAATTTCAAATATAACTGTCATATGCCATTATAACAGTTTTAATAATACAATAAAATTACATATTTAATTGAATATTTTCGTATTTTCGTATATATTTTGCAAATATGATAATCTTCTCTTTCTTAACATTTTAAAAATAATAATAATAAAAATTTGCACAATATTATGTATATATATATATACCTAAATTACACGGAAAATAATAGACCACAAGCAAAAGATTGGACAATGCAAAAAAGAAAAAGAGGGAAGCAATAATGCAAATACCAAATCAAAATGTTATTTAAGCATACAAAATGACAACAAAAAATACACTAAATTAGTTTTGCGGTTATATAATTATATGTATGCATGTACGTAGATGTGGAAATTGCAATAAGTATATGGAACTGTCTATTGTATGCGTATGCGTTCAAGTATAATTGTTTGCTTGTTTGTTTGCATGTGTATGTGTATGTGTTATTAAACACTAGCTACTACCAACGTTTACGAGAGAGCCGATGCAACCGTGCACGATTCTGGGAATAGCTACGGCACATTAGCTGGCTGGTTGTGTTATACATTGTGTTTGTCTGTCTGTCACCATTCCCACTTTGCGACATGTTGCAGCTGCTACTTTTACCACAACCCACAAGCTAACTTAACAAATCCTTAATCTCCTTATGCATATGACACAAGAAGTCCACATAGCTGGGTGAGCCATCTGTGCCGCGATCTTCGATCAGAAAATGACGAAAAACTGATTCCAGTTTGTCGTTTTGTCGCACGCACGTTACCTGTTGCCAGACGTAAGAGAAGTTAAGCTTTTAAGTAATGCTGCACACACAAAAATTGCCAAACAGACATGTTTACTTACCCGCATATTTCTGGTGCGTTCCTTCATGATCGTATCGATAATATTGCGCACGCGTTGCGCCAACGGTGTTTCGCCAGTTATGGCAAAGCGTTCGGCATTCACCTGTTGTGTGCATTGCACACCGAACAGTGGTTGGATGAAGGTTTGCGGCAACGATTGACCCAACCAGACAAATAGATGCACACCATTCTCGAGTATGTAGGCACCGTCTTCGCTCATCTTTTCGTGTGTGCAACGTATGGACATTGGCAATTCATTGTCATCAATATCGATATTGTGTATTGGAATGAAACGTGGATACAAATAGCTGACAGACATATTCAAATCCATGGTCTGTACAAATTGCATAACGTACGAGCGATCGTCGAGCGTCATATCGGAACCGCCAGAGATGGCGTCGTTTTTCAGCAGACACGACACATAGAGCGGCAATAATTTCAGACATTCCGGCAGTATAAGTTGACCAGCCGATGTTGGCGAAGTGCAATGCTTACGATAGCATGCCAATATCTGTGCCGAACGATTTATCAGATTGTCTTTGACTTGTTTCGGTGTGTGCTCTAGCAATTTGCTGCAAGCCTGTTTGGCAAAGAACAACATTATGGCATCCAAGTCGCAGCATTTGAAAACATCCGCAATTGTTGTTGTGGCACGAAGTGCTAAATTCAAAACACGTAGACGCCGTTGACCGCTAACCGATGTGTAGAGTAGTGCGATTTGTATGTATATATTTTCCTCAGGTGGCAACTTGTCGTCATGCTTGATTTCAATAGCAACGGACTTATTGCAGTCTGTTAGCGAATAACGGTAAATACATGAAATTTTGAAATATTTTAAGTTCGCAGTAAAATTTTGTAATAAACGCACCTATACTAGCCAATTCCACATCGGTTGTGTTAGTCATGTAGAAGTGTCCATAGAAATCGGTTGGGCGTATGCCAGCCGAAGTGCGCACGCGCATCACCGCATCGAAAGCAATTGGTCGCGATACGTTCTTAATGATATCCGCAATCAAGCGATTACCATCTAGGTCAGCCTAATATAAACCGGTATATATGTATGTGTTTAAATGTTTTAAAAGAAAAACGCTTAAACAAAAAGCTTACTTGAAAGTATGTATATTTGTAGACTTCACCGCCACTTAGGCGCGCTACCTGTCCCAGCGTTGCAATGTCTATGTACGAATTATTAAATAAGAATAAATCGACCGATACACCATTCTGTACACAATCCTGTCCCAATGTATTGTACGACAAACACTGTGGTGTGAGCACTGTTTTCTCCTTTTCAGTACCGAGCAATTTACGATCATCACGATTTTTCAACTTGCCGCGTCCTTCAGCAATTGGTAGTGTAGAATTGAATACCAACAATTTGCCTGCACAATTGGAAGCTTTCAAGGCTTCGAGACCAGCTTGTATGGCTGGATAGAAAACGGTCTCCGTCTCTTTTGTATCCACAAACATTTTCGGTATTTGTTCCATTAAGGCGTCAATCAAAGCCTCCGATTCTTCGGGATGACAGAGAAAGCCGTCTAGCAGCGGCATAAACATGTCCTGCGCAGTGAATTTGAAAGTTAAATGTTTTTTATTGCTACAATTTCGTGCAACTCACCTGCACATCGCCGACGACCATCATTTGCGGTTGTGCCAAACTGCTTTTTATATTATAGAAATGCACAGTACTGTTGTAGGTTATAAAACCAACGCGCATTTTCGATTTGTCCTGGCCCTGATCCACCGGCAGATGTTGCAACACCTGCTTGATTTGCGAGCACAGTAAATGTACCAAACCCGATTTGATGGTATTGTAAGAGACGTCAATTACGAATATAAATGCTGGTATTTCAGGTGGTGTATTATTCTACAAAAAAAAAAAACAAAAAAAGAAAGGTGTTTATAATATTTTGTTGCTAAAATAAAAAGTTGAAGAGTTTGCTTACGCGACAATAGTCTTTGGTAGCCAAAAACTCATATGTGCCCAAAACCAATTCGGCACGCTCATATTTGTCGACACGTTGACCAGTGTGATCCAAATGTTGGAAATATTCAGTTGGCACTGCAGAATCAAGCAAAATTACAGTTATAAGTACGTTTGTGCAAAATAGCAAATTGTAGCGCCAATAATATATATTACCTTCCGTGGTTACCTTGCACATCAGACATTGGAAACGGCGACCGGCATCGACAAATTGCATGTTTGGCGACATATATGCTTTGCAACGATTACACCTAATTGGTCCTAATTCACCAAAGTTCACAATTTGCGGCTCATATTCACCCTCAATGGTGCGCGCCATTGGTGAAACGAGTAGTGTTAAAGGCAAAGCAGTTGTCTTCAATAAATCAGCAGTTGCTGGTATGCAATACAAAGATGATCTACATATATATATATATTTTAAGAATTAGAGAATATTTAATTTACACACAAATATAAAATGTTATAGTATTTGTTTACCTGACATAACGTGGCGATGAGTTTCCTTGATCCTGCACAACATATTTGGTGGTTACCAATGGCGGCAGAAGACCTGGCTGATTGGTGACAAAAGCGCCACCAGCATTACGTTGATTTTCGATAATAACGCTAATTGGGTTTGGCATCTGATCGGGGTCGAGACGGCGTTGTGGTTGTTGGTACATACCGCCTGGTGCTGGTGGTTGCTAAAAAATACAATTATAGCATTATACTTAAGATATCAGCAATATGCAAAAATCAATGTAGCTTACGTTATAGCCAGGACGGCCGGGCATTGGTGGTTGACCAGCTTGTGTTGGCGGCATCATTTGACCGGGGTAACCAGTTTGTAATGGTTGTTGCGGCGGATAACCGGGTTGTTGAGGTGGATAGCCAGGCTGTCCAGCTTGAGACGGATATACAGTGTGTTGTGGTTGAGGGGGAAAACCGGGTTGTTGTTGTTGTTGTTGCCTTTGCGGCATTTGTGTTTGTGGTGGATAAGCTTGCTGTTGCGGTTGTGGTGGATAGCCTGGCATTGGCGGCATGCCCGGCTGTGGTGGTAATGCTGCTGCTGTGGATATAGGCGGCATGCCCGGCTGACCAGGCAACATTGTTTGCTGTTGTTGTTGGGCCGGCGGTCCAAGCGGTTGCGACATGGCTTGGTGTGGAATTTGACCAGGCCGTGGCGGCATTTGTTGTGCGCCGGGTTGTTGATACTGTGGCATGCCACCAGTTATCGAAGTTGGTGGTGTTGCTGCAACTGGTGGTTGTCCTGGCAATGGCACAATACCACTCTGTAAAAAAGTCGTAATTTGTATAATTTTAAAATTACAAAAAATTGTATTTCCATATTAAACATACCGGTTTGGGAGGCATATGTGGCAAGCCTGGTAGGTTTGCGCTATTTACATTCATCTGATTGGGTCCTCCTGGTACGGATTGCATTGGCGGCGTTGAAGTATTTGGTGCCGGTGGATACATGGAAGTGGGTGCCTGTGGTGGTTGCGTTTGCGGTTGTTTAGCGGGCTGTCCGTTTGTATATGGACCCGAAATGAAGTTGTTGTTAGCGTTTGATACTTGCGGTTGTTGTTGGGATTGCACGTTAGTTGGTGGTCCATTTGATAAAGGTGGCGCGTCTGGAGCGCCGGCTTGAGGGTTTGGTGTGGCGAAAGCGGCACTTGCTATGTTAGCGTTCGCATATGGAGTATTGGTTTGGGGAGGTACGGGTGTTGGCTGTTTCGTTGCATTCATGGATAAACCGCTCATTGAATTCGTTAACTGCAGGCAAAATAAGAACAAGAATAAATAATGTATTACACTGCAAGTAAGTATGCGGAAGTAATGCGGAAAAACACTAGTTTGAATATTGTGTGGCCTTATCACTTTTAATTTCGTTGACCCGAAAGTACGATTTACATGCGCGTTGTTGTTATTCTTATCACTTAAACCTACTTTAAACTGATTTCCATATTGTTATAAGTTTCTTATACAAACCTGTTGTTGGTAGTTGCCGTTGAGTAACCCTGGTTGTTGTCCTTGGCCGTAGTTTTGCTGTGGTGGCAGTGCACCAAGTGGCCCAGCAGGTGTTGATGCTGCTGATGTGGGTGGCATACTGTTGGGTGGATAACTAGCGCCTGGTGGGCCCATCTGTGGCGGTGCCCCACTTGGTGGCATCGGTTGTTGTGTAGCCGGTGGCCAGCCTGGTGTATACTGTGGTTGCTGCGGTGGCGCTCCGTACATGTTCGGATTCATGTTTTTTCTTTTCTTTGAGTGTTATTTATTACAATTACCTCTATCTGTACTCGCTGAAGTAATGGAAGTGTGTGGATAGTGAATTGGTGCTCGCTACAGAAAAACTGAACTTTCTCACTGCATTCACTTCACTTTGTTGGTAAATGTTATTTTAATTTCTAGCCTGTTAAGTCACGAAACTGCTTAGAAAATAATGAAATAATGTAAGTACCCTGAAGTATTCTTATTTGATTCACACACTAATTGGTTTTTTAACTATTAGTTAACAATAAGTATGTTTAAATTTCATTTAAACCCGATAAAGAAATTGAGAAAAAATGTCACTTCCACGTCAGAGCAGCAGTTCCAATTTGCTTTACATACGGATTTTGACGTTTGCCACGTAAACAGTGCTGCCGGTCCGCCGTATACGTTCAGTTCAATGTTAATATGTGTATTTTCCCACTTTTACATGCAATTGAAACGTAAGCGTCTGTTATTTCATTTTAAAATAAATGTTTATAAATTATTTACTTATACTAATTAATAATATAATTAAACAATCTAAATACAGCACTAAAAGTATGCCTTTATAAATCGTAATAAGGTGGTAATACTAGTTAAGAGAAAAATTTAAGGTACGTTCAGTGTGAAAAAAGGAAGTGTGTGAAAAACTAGAAATTTGGAAATTAAACGAATAATTAAATAAATACTGATATTTATAAAATACAATTTGTCTTGCTTTTATTCATTTATATATATGCTAACAGGTAAATTTGTTTTGGTATGGAAATTAAAATTAGTAGTTGTTTCTTTTTCTTTTATGATTTCTGTTATTAAGCGTTTCCTTTTGCATTCATCCGCTTCCCTCGCGCCTTTTTTGACAGTTGGAAAGCAGCTATATTTTTTAGTGCAGTGATTTTAACAAGTTTAACCAAATTTGTGAAATTTATCAATTAAAGAGAGCTAAAAGTGAAATCAATATGAAATTTTGCATAAGAAAAGTGTAGTGTAAAGGCTAATATTGAAGTGCAAAAGTTTATTTGAGGAACGTGCTATTAGCAAGTGTTTAAATTCCACAGCCATCCCACAATTAGAGAGACACAGCTAAGTTAATATGCATATTTATTAAAATATATAATATATTTAATTTATAAAATATTTTCACGACAAATGAATCACTGAAAATTGTTATATATTTCCGGTGTTGTAGTGTAGTTAGTGCCAAAGAAGAAGCTGCGGCGCAAACCATTAAAAAATTGCAAACCAGCAATGTGCTCAATCTCTCTGATGTCAGCTAGAAAATTTCGTATATTCGTATTTGTACTAATAGGCGCATTTGGCATTATGTATGCCTCCATATATGGTTGGCCGCCCGGTAATTTCGATTCCACAGTGATTACTTTAAAAAAATGCGTAGGCACTGCAACAGTATTTTCACCAATAACCTCATATTCCACACACCACTTTTCGTTTGTCCTTCCGCTATTCTCTACTTCTGTAAAACCAGACATTTGACGCTTTGGCTTATATAGCGGTCCGGTACAAACATAAACAGAACCGTAGCGTTCTGTTAACTCGCGTACATAAATTTCCAAATTATTCCATGCATCACGATTGAAACCCTTTCCAACTTGTGGCGCAATATTTGTCAAATAAAATGTCTCGTTGCAATGTGTCTGATGACATTTATGATTGCCTGCTGCAGCCAAATGGCCGCGATCGAAACCAGAATTTTTATAATCAGTTACATCAGATCGAAAGTTGGAAGGTACACTCATATCGGGTTGATAATTAGCTTCATGGCGACTAGCCCCACTACCATTAGATTGGACACAGGGTGCACGTAAATGCTCGTAAACCCAGTGTGCAACTCGATTGCGTCGATCATAAGAGAGTACAAAATCTGAATAGACACGTATATCGTCCAGACCAGGGAAGCCGTACTTCATGATCTCTGACATACGCGAACTGGCACCGACTGACTGCTCCCGACAGTTAAGATTTAAAAGTGGCAGCTGCAAGTAAAGTGTTTGTGAAATTTTTTAATACATATGCAAATGTGTGTGTAAGTGTAAAGTGATGACCAACCGCGTCATATAATTTTTCGCGTATATAGAACGCGTAGGGATCCTGTTGTATGAGCTGTTGTAGCTTGTGCCAGAAGTCATGGTGCTGATAGTAGGCGCCCAGTACGAAAAAGCTGCTGCCGGTGAGTGCTAATAGTATTAAACCAACACCAAAGAAAGGCATGCTGCCGTTATATATTTATTTTACATTTATATTAAGTACGAATACATATGTACTCATAAATTATATTTTTTAAATGGCTTTTGTTGATAGCTAGCCAAAACTAGTCGTAGTTTTTTTCTAATTTTAAAACACAATTTACTTTTAATTTTTGAAGTTTGGTTTTTGACAGCTGAAACAACAACTGTTGAATTGTTTACAAAAAGTGTGACAAAAGTGCAAAATAAGTAATTATTAAGGTTTATGGTAAAAACTTAGTGGAATATGAGCAACAATTTATTAAAGTTTGAACCAAATTAATTGTTTTAGATGTTGTGCGACACAAATTTTTGTTAACACATAAAAAATAATAATGCCCATCAAAAGCTTTTATTTTATGGAACCTAGTAGTACAATAAAAGCGCACTTTTTTTTACCAATATGGTCTATATATAAACACAAGTACATAACCAGAAGTGCATATTATATATAATATTATAAAACCTCTAATGTCCTAAGAGCAATACAATATAGTACATGCTGACCTATGTAAGTATGTATGTATGTGCATGTCTTTCAGAAACTTTCGTAAATGTGACCTGCAGGCATAAAATAAAAGGCGGTCATAAATGCAATAACGGAGATAAACGTTGAATTCGCTGAAAAGATTTATATGAAGAGTTTTTTAGACACGAATTTCGCTTCCAAAGCGGTTTGCAAAAACACTTTAGATTTTTAGGCGCGCAACGCTAAAGGGAAATTAAAAAGCAAAAGTGTCTCAAAAGACTAAAACGAAGTTATACAATTTTTAGTGAGAAAAGAGTGCATTGGCAAAGTGGTGTGGAATGTTTAACGGCGAATATACTCATATATTACTAATGGATTTACGCTCTTCACAAATTTCACAGTTTTTGAGATATAGAACAGAAAGATAAAGAAGCCAAGAGGCTACTCATTTGTCGGAACCGCCGACATTCGACCACTATAGGCAATATGTCATACAAACTGATCGATCAAATCAAGTACTTGTATGGAAAATCTTTTTATTTAATAAGATATCTTCATGAAATTTGACATATATTATTATTCGAAACAGCGCCACAACTTTTAAACAAATTATGCAGATCCGGCCACTACAGCATATAGCTGTCAAACAAACTGATCGATCAAAATCAAGCTAAATATCTGTTTATACGCTTTTATGTTCTAAGAAATGCAGCTATGAGAGTATTATAGCTCCAATGCAGACGAAATTGACACTTTTTCGAATTTTTATACAAATTTCTTATTGAATTTAAACAAAACTTATAACCACAGTAGATGATAGATTATTAATCAGTTGCAGTGAATTAAGTTAAAATTCACATTACTTCTCGAAAAGGTATGTTTTAAGCAACTCGCAAAGTGTAATTAAAATTTGTCACATGAAAATCAACGCGTATTTATGTAACTCAAACTTTAGCGCGCTTTTAATGAAGCCAAACCCATTGACACCTAGCACGTGTTTCAAGTACATCAACGCGAGTCGTTGAAAAGTTAACGGTTTCATTTTAACCTTAATTGGTGGTTTTGCTCATTAGCATTTGTTTACGTATCGATTGGAGATGCGATGAAGGCCTAAAAAGCTGCTACCAACACGTCAAAAACCAATCTGCGCGCGTTGGCAGGCGATGTGGACCTACCATCGGTGTGTTGTGCTGTTGCCTCTAAGTGGGTGTGTACACGCTTGTGGGTCGTTGGGCAGGTGTTTAGTTGCCGAATTTTCTGCGCCCTCATCAAAGCGTTGACATGTGGTATGCGGCGAAATAAGCTGAAATCAGCGCATATACAAGCATACATAGTATATAGTACATACCTACCTATATGATACATATGTAGATAGGTGTTCAAGTATAAGAGTTATTGTGCCTGTGTGCGCTTGTGTGTGTGTCGAAAATTTGCATAATTGAAAAATGTATGCACTAATACTGTGTCATCATTGGAGTTTGTGGCTACGAAGTATGTGTGAACATTTGTGGGCCCGCCACCGACCAGATTGCTTGTGCCTGGTAATATGCGCACACCCACGCGCTCACCTGTGTGAGGTGCTTCTAATGTGTGCATACATACCGCGTTGCGGTTAGCAGTTAAGTGCAGCTTATAAATTTTTAAATAAATTTGTCTTTGCTTTTGCTTAGGTTGACAGGAAACACTTGGTGGCGTATTTAATGACACGAAGTGGAAGCTTCGGTGACAGTGATACGTTTTGAGGGTCAATTTTGTTATGAATGCAATTAAACGTGTGACATGTGTGGTTAGAAGAGCTTTAAAATTCAATTAAGTGTTTGGCGTTTTATGCATTTAAATAATTTATGGGGAAATTTTTAAATTTATGAATAAATCATGTTTATGCTTTCATTTTTAGTTTTTCATAATATTAAATTTTACAAAAGCACAAAGTTTTTTTCAGTGAGGTAATAATATGAGAGCTTTTCAGTGTGTATGTGTAACGACATATGTTGTTTACATACATTGGAGAAAATGAGAATAGTATTACAGCGAAAATTCATTAAATTCCTGTCATTTTTAATACGCTTTTATTAGCTTGGGTTGTATGTATGTAATGGAATCTTAGAGCTCAATTTTCACCGCTTTCCAGAAGTCTGATCAACTTAAAACTTTGCAGACGTGTCAAGGACCGATGACAATGCAATGATTTGAGAACAGTTTCTCATCATTTTAAAGGTGGGCGTAGATATTTTCCAAACCACTAAAGCTAACTTAACCAAATTTGCTGAGAGGAAGTCCTTTTAGCCTTTTTTCATACGCTGAAATTCCTTTAAAACGTGTTGTTTTAGTTTCCTTTTAAACTATTATTTATTTGTTTTTGGCCGTCAGTGCGGGCTAAAGTTGAATAAAATGGGATAATAATAATGTCCGACATTCCTATAATTTTTTCTTTTATTCCCAAATTTGTTATGAGTTTCTAATCGCCAAAAGAACTAGAAAAAAAGTTGACTCCGGTTGCACTGAAGCTGTAATACCCTTCATAAATGCAAAAGATTCTTAACAAGAACTTTGATCGTTCAGTTTGTATGGCAGCTATATGCTATAGTGATCTGTTCGTTTCTTCGGAGATTTCATCATTGGTTTAGGCAATAATCCATGCGAAATTTCTTGAAGATATCTCATAAAATGACAAAGCTCTCCATACAAGCACTATATTCTGATCGTTCAGTTAGTATGGCAGCTATATCTACAGTGGTCCTACATCGGCGATTCCGACAAATGAGGCACACAGGTGAATATGGCTTCATCGACTCGGCTCGTCATGCTGTATATATATATTTTTTTTTTTTATGGAGTCTACGATGTCTCCTGCCTGTGACAAACTCCTTGGTAAACTTAATATATCAGGATATAACAATCCGACAAAAGCAAATTTCTGTCCACCCTAGGTTTCGTCCTCTCATAATTGTGTTTACATTGTCGGCGTTTACATTCGAACGTTAAAGTATGCATTAACTGGCTTAGTGAATATCAGGTATCTTATAAGTGTATCTGTACTTCTGCAGGTTAGTACTTCTGTAAATCTCTAGTTGTAAACATAACTGATGTCAGATATTTTTGATATACGGTTTGATTGATACTCAAAGCGAACGAATTTCGTAGTTGGTAGCATTGTTGCTAAATACACAGGAAAGTAGCTAGTTGTGATTTTTCTGACTACTTCACTTGATATCACGTCGCATCCCCATCATATTAATTAACGTCATACCAACAAAGAGGGCGCACAAAAAAAAAAATTAAATTTGTTCCATCTGTTCTTTGGAACACAGTCGAAAATCGAGTGCAACTCATAATACTATGTATATATAATAAAATGTTGCTATGTGGAATAAATATCATTTTATATATCACTTCTTATTATATCAATACGACATTTTATTATATCACATCACATCATGTTAGCAAAACAGTTACAAAATATTTACATTTTCTGGTAATGGGTTAATAAAAATTGGAAATTCTTTATGTACATTTTTATGCATTTTCTCAAGAATAATATAAAATCGTTCTAAAATAAATATTTGCTTAAATTCGTTACACTTTTTAACAACACTGAGTTTTTGAATTCAAACTCTGCACTTAAAAACTATACAAATTTATACTCGCTGATAGAATTATTTTCCTCTTCGAATCGTCCATTTGTTTCACTATCTATGGCAGCTGTGACTAAACGTTGCGGTTGTATATTTGGACCCAGTGCATATGGCGGCTTATCTGCTGTTTTTACGTAAAATGTGCCCCTCTTTGGCGTAGAGGGCTCGCCACCCATACGAAATTCCACACCAGTCTCCGAGAATATCCAAACATCATCCGATTGACGGCGACAGAGTGTGCCCCAAAATCCCAATTGGCTGGTAATCGATTCGGCAAAGTAGTGGTAAGCACGTCGATGAGAGCAACCATAAAAATAGCACTTCTTCTGGTCACGTCCATAATTGGGATAGAAGGTGGCATGACCGACTGGTTCTTCAAAACCCAAACTGCTGCTAGTCTGTATAGATTCGACATACTCAGCATCGCTGGGATCGACACGAAATTCATCGCTGACGTCACGAAATTTCGGACCAGCCGGATCGAGCGCATAGATCGTATTAAAGCGGTAGGGATGTGCTTGCTTGCCAGCGCTACCGGCGATTTGTGCGCCCAACGAGTGACCAATCAAATACACGTCATTATAATTGAGGCCGGTGCGCAGATGCAGAAAACCAACAAAATCGGCAAGTAACCGTCCTAAATCCTCCACCATTTCGACAACACTATAATAATTCACATTCGACGAAATAACACTCCAATCACAAACGATTATATTATAGTCGCTTGGCATCACTGTGCCACTGAGATCACTACGATTACCATCGTCAATTGCGAACACACTGTTGATTGGTGAACTGGTGACGATGCTGGCATCTTCGGTGGAAACGGCTGATTGAGGCATGCGTTTGACTAGGCTAAGATAAGCATTTTTGACGGAGCGATTCAAGGCACCTTTGCTCTGACTCATCCAACCATGTATGATTATTCTGCAAGAAAGAAAGCGAGAGAGAGTGGAAATATTTGCGATGTTCAATATGTACCTCTGCAGTTTTGTGATTTAAGATGCAAAATTGAAATTTTATATGCCAATTTTGGACATACAAGTATAGTATGCAATCATATTATATAAGTGTGTATGTTTAATCTTGAAATGCATTTAACCAAAACTTTCAACGAAAAATATTCAAAATAAAAAGTGCTAATTTCTCACTGAGTCATAAAAGTTGTTAAAACCGGTGTCTTTCAGCTGTGCATACATTGTTGTTTATATCTGCATATATACTTATATATGTTATATATACACATATGTCGACGTATAATTGTTTTTTTTGTAGTCTGTATGCGAAATTGTCGAGCTCAAAACCAGCAGCGATATTCCAAGAAAGCAATCGCTTATCAAGTTATCTACTTCAAATTTAATTTTCATGAATATAAATCACGTAAAAACTGATTTTAAGCTTACGCAACATAGTGCAGGTATTTTTTCAATAATCTGTCGGTTAAGTAAGAACTCCTCTCTAGAGCTCTTAAAACTAAAACAATACTTGCTTTGTTCCTCTCTATAGTAGCTGTAATTCACCACAATACTCATGGACTAGTGCAAAAGCCTTTGAAAATGTAAAAACAAAAAAATTCATAGTAGGTTGAAACCCATCGGAAACGAAAGATAAAAAAAGAAAAAACATTAACTTCGGTTGCACCGAAGCTATAATACCTTTACAAATACAAAGGTTCCTTAATGACAAACACCTGTTCAGGGTATAATGACAAACAGTAAAGGAAAAATAATTTACAGGCGATCTGAGGTCGGGAAAAGTATCTCTCCCCTTCCTTTAGAATTTTGAGAGATTAAAAATGGTTTAGCTCGATTTTCGGTAAAACTACGAGTACTATAGAAAAAAGTTGTAGATAATGAAAAGATCTTTAACTTTCGTTTATAAACTTTTTTCACATAACCTCAAAATTTATGTGAAAAACTCAAATAACCAAGTTTTTGGCCTTCTTATTTTTACCTTGTAAAAATTTTTTTTCTTTCACGAAATTTAATGTAATCTTACCTTCTTATGTTCCAAATACACTGTATTTTTTAAATTTAAAATATTTATTTTTTCTCCTCTATTTTGACCTATTATTAAAAAAACACAAATTTTCAATCAAAAATTCTCAAGTCAAAATGTCAGATTTTTTTAAAAAGTCAGTAGACTTCGCTAAAAACTCTACTTTTTGATCGTACAAAAATTATTAACATTACTATATTAAAAATTTTCTCAGAAAACGCAACAAATTACCCCATTAAGGGGTTACATGGGTTTCATCGAGCAGAAAACGCTCTATTTTCAATAATTTTTTCTTCACATAAAAAATGAAATATTTTAATTAAATTTTTTATCATTCCAAAGACACTTGATTAAGATTTTGTGAAATTTTCAAAGGAATATATTCAAAACTCGGTCATTACGACGTCATTTCCAGCAGTCCTTCGGAAAAAAGGTGCGTTGACAGCAGAACTTCTGACAGGATCATCAAAAGTAGAAAGAAAAAAATACGTATTTGAACTAAAACTATTAACTAGGTATTGGACGGAGAAAAGAGAAATCAAGTGAAAATTGTATATTTGGTTGACGTTTAAAAAAAAAACGTAAATTTTCGTGAAAATTTCTTGAGGTTTTTTTTTTTAAATAATTGTAATTGAATTCAAAACCTTATAAAGGATAACTTTAACCCCTGTGTTAAATTTCATTAAGATCGGTTAAGTAGTTCCTGAGAGATCTTGACAACCGACTTTGAAAACAAAGTTTCGAAAAAAACGCGTTTAAAGTTTTAAGCTATTCAAAGCTGTACCCCCTAAACTATTACTGGGATCAACTTGTGAATTTAGTACAATATTCTAGTCATATTATAGAATTAAATAAAAGAATACTTTTTTTTTTTGTTTTTTTGAAGCCGTGAAACCCATGAACACCTTAAACAGCCAAAAAACGGTTCAACACTGCTGTTTTTATTTCATCTACCAATTATTTCGTAGTAGCAGCAATAAAAAGAGCAGGCTTGAATAGTTTTGTGGCGTCCTAAAAATTTAACCATGCTCCTTCCCTTCCTTTCCCCGACCTCAGATCGCCCGTAAATTATTTTTCCCGTTATTTTATCTTGCTTCCGATGGGCTTCATCCAATCATGACTTTTTTGTTTTCAAAATTATCTACGCTGATCTAATACCTCTGTCTTGTAACTGTATTGTTCAACGTTGCTAAAAGCAATTGTATGAAATATTAGTCTTATATTCGATTCAAACTTGAAAGTTGGGTCTGATACTGCCCATCTTTTCGTTATATATCACATCAAAGAGGAAAATAACCTTTACATACCGCTCTTTTAACTTTAGCACTAATAACGGTATCGAAAAAATTGTTGCCATAACAGAGTTAAGTTGTTCAAAACCTTTCGATCGTTCTTCTGGTTGACTTAAGATCATGTTTACTGGCATATCGCTCAATATGCTCGTATGCTACTATGTACCCCCCTAAAAGTGAGTAAAATGTTTTCCTGCGCAGATGTGGCTTATTATTTTTTATGTTGTTGTTGTAATTTGCATATTTATTAACCTCTATTTGCTGATGCTGGTTCGGATTTCCTATTTGTATTTGTTCGTTATCAACTCAGGCGTGCATTTTTTATACTACCGTTATAGATTAAACGAGTGTGTGTTGGTTTAGGTAATTAAAAATGCTTTCAATCTTGCTCGTAATTAATTTTGTAATATTGATAAAAATATCAATTAATAAATTAATCGCTTTCATCTCGCCCGCATTGAATGGTGTGATTTGTATAGTTTTTGCTTGCCTAAACATATTATACTTAGTAGCTATAATACCTATATGTATAATAAAGTATCAACTAGTGATTAATTAATAAAAAATATAGCCATTGCTAAAGGTTATTGGTCATAATGACACAGTAGCGGTGACAAATGCGTTAATTATAAAAGATGTGCTAATTACATTATTACAGTGATGATGAGTTTGATTTCGTTAATTTCTTACATTAGGGTGGTCGTTTGTTTTAAGAAATCAGAATTTTGAAATTATTTTTCTTAGGGCTACTTCAAATACTTTCTTAAACATAATATGTAGTATAATACTATATATATATTTTTTATTTCATATTTCTAAATTCATATTTTTGAAAACAAATTTTCTCAAACAAAAAAAAATTAATTTTAAAGAACATTTCTTATTGAACTTGATATCTTGAAGAATGAAACAATGAAAATTCTCTCCTGGAAAATAAATTTATTCGGTTTTGTTATATTTTTAAAATGTTGGAAAAAAACAAAATGATCAAAATTTGTGCTATATCGTAAAGTTTTCACCAAAATAACATTTACTCAAACAAATTCTTTGCGCTTAGAAACAAAGTAAGGCAATGGTTTAGAAAAGTCTTGGACTTAAATATAAAAAATTTCACAAAAAAAAATTATTCAATTTAGTTCCACCCTAATGCAATTGTTTATAGACTAACGTGTTAGTAATCAGAATTTCTGTAAAAAAATTTAGTTTGCGTGACATTAACACAATTAAAAATTTATTTGTTCGGGCTTATAAACGCACGAACGTATTTAGCAAAAACTATAAGGTTAATTAAGAAATTTAAGCTGATTTTAGCGACGCAAATTGAAAATTTATGAAATTTTCGCAGAAATATCACACATCACTCATTACTCAATTACTAATATTTTGTTAGATTACTCAAATTATTTCGAATACCTCACACTAAATACATTAGCATAACCCCAGATTGCGAATTTCGAAAAATATAATGCCGAAACTTAACTTGACATTGCTTAAATGCTTAAAACTAAAGACCGTTTTGTCTGCCATTCGCAAAATTTCGGTATTTGACAGTATTGTTACATATTACAAATTTTGCAATAATAAAACTTTCTACAAACCTGGTTGGATGCTCTGGATTAAAATCAGACATTTCCAAGCTGCTGCCGTCGTCTGTTATTATCTCTCGTCCGCATTCTGCAAAATCTCTTTTATATAAATAGAATTGCATTTTGACGCGCATGGAGCTGGTGAATGGTATCAAATGTTTGAAGAAACGCTTCAGGAAAGTGGAATCAAAGAAACCACTTGGCCTGCGTAGCGTATGGCCGCAGACATCACGTAATGAGCTAGCTAGCGGTGCGCTGCTAGCTGATGGCACTGCTGAAATGAAAAACAGTAACATATTTAGATACATAAATTCGGCGTTCTTCTCTCAGAATTTGATGAAACTAGGCCCAAATGCTAGTTTGTACTACTCATAAGTTTCTGTTTTTTTGTTTGTTTTAAATATCAGTATTTTAAGTTGTTAGAATTTAAATTAAAGAAATTCTTCCAGAGATTTGTTTGCCAGAACTTGCAAAAGCCGGCTATATTTTAATGAAAGTTCAAAAATTTCAGAAATTACACTACAGCGCCATCTGTCATAACTTTTAGACAGAACGAAATATACAAAAATTATATAATGTAATAAGAGTTTAAAATTTTTTTGTATACAGTATGAAACGTCCTCAAAAATAAAATTTAGATAACATAGTTTCAAAAACGTTTAAGTAAGTCTTCAAAACTACAAGAGCTTTGTTTAAAAACTTTTGACAGGCTTGACAAGTAGAGTGATATACATAGTATGTATACGCCTGTATGTATTTTTGTTTTATGTTCGAACTTTGCCAGTTATTTTTAGAGATTAGGTACATAAATTTGCTAGACAATTTTTTTCCGGATCTCAATCCACTTTTTCTACTTAAAAGTTGATTTTATTTAATGCCACTTGGATTTATACCGTTTCATTTGCTTTAGTTTCTTGTTTGTTGTGACTTTCGAAAACACGGTTCCACACAAAATACTTTATTATTAAAGATACAGCATAGCATCTCTTCAATTACTGAATTTTCACGTTTTTTTCCAAAAACTCTATAATTTTTGCACTTAATACTTTCTGACTTCCCATTATTTATTTACATACCATTTAAAATAAATATCACTAGAACAACAACTGCCACTAGACGAGAGAAGCGCAGTGTGTCTCGAATCGCGGATCTGTTGTGCATCTGAGTCTGTCAATAAATATGCTGCTCCACAGCTGAGCTCAGCCAATAGGTCCAATGGAAAATAAAAAACAACACTTTCACTTCATGGATTATGAAACGACAAAAAGAGGCGTAGTAAATAAAACACACCCCCACTCGATCTTTTCAATCTATTGAAATCTGTAAAAATGTCAACAAGCTAGCTTATTAGCTTAGATTACTAAACAACACAGAATCGAAAACACTTCCAGCGCCGCGTAAACATCGACGTTGACAGCTTTGGCTCGCGTGCTTTTGTGAATGCCGTTGAACTGAAGCTGCGATCGCTCATGTCCCCCGCCGTAGCATACTCAATTCGCAATCTACGAACGCGAACAAATTTTATTGACACAAATATTATTTGTTATTCGTATTCGTTTCGTATGGATAAATTATTGTAAGTGCTACGGAGTTACTAACTCACAACCAGTCGGAGCGATTGCCGTCGCGCAACTGAATCCGACACAATTGTTGCAGAGTAAATGCACAAGCACGTTGGCACGAGTCGAGTGTCGATTGATCTTGTCGATCGTCTGTTGAGCGCTGACAACATTGTTACCGGACGCTGACATAAACAGTTGACTGTAAAAATTGGTGGATGAGCTAATTGAATGTTTATAAACGTTGCATTGACTAAACCATCATGTCATAGGTAAGCGAAACGCCAGAGAATCAGACCCTTTTGCGTGGGAGAGCGAGCAGTGCTTAATGAATGCACTCAACGTCGGAGAGGTGCAATATAGTACATAACATATGAGTGAGTAAGGTGTGCATGAGTTCATACATGAAATAGTTTTGAAACACAAAATTTCTTCCTTATACTACGTGTACTTAGAGAGGTTCAAAAATACCAACTTATCGAGCTGAATTGTATTTATGTTGACAATTGACCACTTCTACAAGTACTGTGAATTGTGTTAGAGCGTCTAATTAATAAGTCGAACGGTTTATTATTTCGGCAGCTTTGCTCTATAAAGGATCGATATATTAAATAAAACTACTTGTAATTGTAGTGAGGTTTTTCTTTTTTGAGAGTCTGAAAATCCTATCATGAAATATTTTTATACCTTGAACAGGGTATATTAAGTTTGCCACGAAGTTTGTAACACCCAGAAGGAAACGTCGGAGACCCTATAAAATATAATATATACTATATTAATGATCAGCATGATGAGCTGAGTTGATTTAGCCATCCCCGTCTGCCTATCTGTATATATACGAATTAGTCCCTCCGTTTTTAAGCTATCGATCTGAAATTTTGCACCTGTCCTTTCCTTACTAAGAAGCTGCTCATTTGCCGGAACGGCCGATATCGCATCACTATATCATGTGGCTGCCATACAAACTGTACAATAGGAATCAAGTGCTTTTATGGGAAACTCTTTCATTTGACGAGGTATCTTCACTAAATTTGGTACGAGTTATTTCCTAAGGCAACAATGTATTCTCCTGAGAAATTGTTCAGATCAGATCACTATATCATATAGCTGCCATACAAATTAAACAATTGGAATCAAGTTCTTGTAAGGAACCTTTGTATTTGTGATAGGTGTTAAAGCTTCGGTGCAACCGAAGTTTATGTTTTTTCTTGTTTCATGAAAAGATTAACCATATATTATTATATTATTATAATTTTTTCACAAAACACAACTTTTTGGGAAAGCCGCCATTTTGTTAAAAATCAAAAATTTGACTAGTCCTTTAATTATTACCTGTATGCATCCCCAGTAATAATAATGCTTAGGGTTTTGGATTTTAGATAGTTTTAAGCAGAAAAATCTTCCTCACTGTTAGAAGACTTTTTTCGGAGGTCCCCCTGGAGATCAGATCCCCTTAAATCATTTAACATGAACGCAATATGTCCAAGACAGGCCGCCTGACATTAAGCGGTCGAACTTAAGGGCTTTTTTGTACAAACGAAAATACATCGAGTGGGATTGCTAAATTTGGATATGAACAAATAGTTCTTTGATTTAGCCATCTCCAAAGCTTCCCAAGAGCTTGGTATGTACTCACTAAGACTTTATTTTATTGCTTCTTTGAAATTATTGTATTTTAGTAAAAGAATATAACTGCATAACACAAGCCTTAAGCATACGGATCGAAGGTAGTATTTATACAAAGCAAAAAGCAAATTAACAAGTTTACACTTATATTTTAGAAATGCAAAAACAAAAACGCAAAAATATTATTTAAATACCAATTACCAACTTGTGTTTACCACCAACATGTACATGTGAAATATTAACTGTATTTCTGTTGCGTATGTGAGCGATGTACCTGCCCTGTAGGAAAATTTACCAATGAAATTGATTTTATTGGAGGATTTTGGGCAAAACATAGTTACTAGTTCACGTTAATATTACGTGTCGATAGATATGTTGTTGATGCTATATTTCTGTAGCACCCAAATAGTGCTCATTAAGATGAAATTCTCTATGCGATAAAAGTAGGTAAATATATCTCACTTTAAAGTCATGATTGAACTATTTTATTTATATTGCTTCCATACTACTTTCCTTCCAATAAATAACTTCCTTCCAATAAATAACTTAGCTCATAGACACAATTGGTAAATTTTTGGAGAATTTGAATGTAATTATACTTGCTTCTGAACTATAACCTTAATGGACAACTTTGTGTTTCCCTGCAGTGCATTTACATATACATACATACATACATAAGCAGAGCATAACAGCGCACAATCACTGTACATGTGTATTAGAGCGTGTAATCTAGTATGAATTGATTGAAATTTATGTCAGTGCCGCCGGAGAATTCAGCGCATAAATTTATTAAAATTCAATTTGCTTAGTAAAATAACAACAACGAGAGCTCAATAACTTATTTGGCCATCTCAATTCGATTAGAGTTGTGTGCGCTGCTGTGGAGTAGTTAAGTGGTGGGAATATTTATTAACTATTCAACAACAAATAAATAGGCGAAATAAAGGCAGCCATTCTTGGTATGTACGATTTGGGAGGTATAGGGCTAACTTAGCTGAAGCTATCCTCACATAATTCAAATCGATGTGGTTAGTTAAAAATTTATGAGTCTCCTTACTGTGGTTTCAGTAGTCGTTTTTGATTTGCCGATTCTCAGCTTGCGTATAAGCATAAGAGCTCTGCTTTTGTGTCTAACAGTTTTCATATAAAATCAACAACGAAGTTATGCAGTAGATTTCAATACAAAGTAGTATGCGATTATTTCTTTAAATGCTTTATATTCTCTTTATATTTAATTATACCAGTTTATATGCCTTATACTAGTTGTTTGTTCGATTCACTCATCTTGAAAACCAAGTTAAGATTATAGATTATTTAAAGTGAAGATATAAGGAATGTAAAATCTTATCAGCTCACTGCTTGTGTATACTGAATTATCCTGTAGATTTCTTATATCCACATAGTAGAAGGCTTCGATGTAGCCGTATATCAGACTGGATCCAAAATAGACCGAGATTTTGTGCCTTAGGCAAACGATTCTTTTTCCCACATTAGTCGGTCCGGCCAATAACTGTGGTGTATTGCCTGCCCTTGCTTAATATGTCAACTGATATAATTAATATACACATCTAGTCTGTTATTTTTCCCTATAACTGCCGTCCAAAGCTACATATCTGTGGTGAATTCATGCCTTCAGCTATATATTCAGCAGCAATATTTCAAGATCCATACATTTTCATTACAATTTAGTGCTCATTTCTTGTTTTTTAATGTTTATGCTGTATATTCTTGCAATGTATGGGCGTATCTAGTACTCTACGAATTTAGTCCTTTCTCACTTCATCATAATAAATTCCATCTAACTGAAAGCTCTTACTCAACACTTTAGGGCAATCGGTGGAATAAGCGCACATGCACAAGTATCTGTATGTTGTAGGAACCTTTACAACATTACCATAACCATTATCATTACTGATATTGCATTAACCAGTGTCAATGCCGGTACTAGGCGTCGAAAGGTAGAGGTGAGTGAATGTTTTTCCAACCTGCCAATAACATTGCGCCTAAGATTATGCAACATACGAGCACTTCACATCATACACGGTCCCCTTACAAACATCTATACATAAACACCTCTGAATACCGCTGTACGAATAGGTTAACCTAGAATTTGCAAGTAGTATCGTTCACATATCCTCAACGGAGTATACTTCGGTTTTATTCGATTATTTAAATTTTATGTTTATTGCTTATAAATAATTTATGAACGTAAAATTGCGCTAAAGCACTCACTGGTAATACCCGATCCTAGCCCATGGGCATTGCAAGCGAAGTTGATTAGAATTGTGGAACTGCTGAGTGATGGAGCGCCGCGGCTGTGCTGGGCATGCTGTGGCTAGCAGGTTGTGGGTGGTGGGTTGTGAGTGGCGTTGTATTGGAGTTTCTCCTATTTATTTTGCGATTACAAATGCTACCATACATATATACCTATATGAGGTTTCAGATATGTAGTCGCATACATTTATATTTCTATGTGAGATATGTAAAGATGAAAATGAATTGTGCTTTTTGGATGTTGACAACTACTGACTTCTCCAAATATCTGTATCTATTTATATGTATGTTTGTATATGTGATAAAAGCAAACATATGTTTGTATATACATACATGGTCACTATTTATTAATCTTTTGGCTTAAACCCAGCGGAGTTTGCATTTATTTCGATATTCACATTTATCCTCAGATGTATTGAAACACAGGCAATAATAATCTCAAGAGTTCGCATTGTTAACGGCACCTTTGCTTTAATTAATCCTGAAATGACATACATAAGTTATACTCTGTTGGGTATACCACATAAATCTTGATGTTATCAGGGAGAACAGAAATAATTTAACGTTTATATAAGGTCGCGGGGAAAGTTCGGTCCGATTTTTTGGTTTTTTTTAAGCCAAGGTCGCTGAGGTCGAGAGTATGAGTTTATTGGAAGGCATACCTGATAGGTAGTTCATGCATTCGCCTAGTCTTATGTTAAAGGTTGTGGACTTGGCTAAATGTAAACAAATGGTTGTTAACCGCATAATATATAAACAAAGGGGTCAGCGACCCGCCGAAATGTAAACAAAAAAGGCCATTGACCTAATAATATAAACATTGAGTCCATAAAATGTAAACAAAAAAGTCATTGACCCCAAGTGTAAACACAGGTTGTTGACTTGGCTACTTTTGGCTAAGTGTAAACAAGGGTTGTGGACTTGGCTAAATGTAAACAAAAAGGTCATTGACCTAACAAAAGGTAAAAAAAGGGTCACTAACCTCATAAAATATAAAGAAAGAGTCATTATCAGAGTTAAACAATAGGGTCATTGAAATAAATCTAAACAAAAGTTTTTGACTTGACTAAAATTATGTAAGGGTCACTGATCTCATAATATGTAAACTAAAGGGCAATTGAAGCCACTAAGTCTAAACAAAGTTGTTCTTTTTTTCCAAGTGACTGTTCATTATTCAGAACCACCGAAATCGGACCACTATAAGATAAAGCTGCCATACAAACTGATCGATCGAAGTAAATATAAATATTTTTATATACCTTTTTATGCTAAGAGAATGCTGTTGTATTTCTCCTGCTTTGATC